CTGCCAGCTTCTGAGTCAGCCCATGTCACTTTGGGGTGTCACCAATTGTCAGGAAGCTTTTCTTTACCTCATATTTCCTTATACACTCTCTGGAATACATCCCCCAAAGATCCTAAACTTAACTTTTGTCTTAAGCCTTTTCCTCTCTCATTTTTTTCCCATCTTCTGAGACTCACTGCATCCTGGTGCCATCCTTATGACGTGATATCTTTGGCCGCCATTTCCAGCACTGGTTCCACTTTCCCTTGTACCTGCTTCCCCTTCCCCAACACACTGGTCAGAACACTTCTTGCTCCCCGCTGTTGGTTCCAAGCTTTCCCTCTACCATCATCACGTAGTAACGTATTTATCCCTCAATCCAAAATCTGGTAGCTGTCGTCTGTTGACCTCCAGCATACTCTGCTTCTTCCTCAATGGGCACAATGTGTGGGGCACAGTCTTTTTCTCCTCCCCAACCTTCTTCAAGCTCTAATCTTTGAGTTCCTCAGTTCCCTTATTTCCCATGACGTATTCCTCCATCCCAACTCTACCACACGTAGAGATGTCACATCCTTGATGATAATGATGATGATAAAAATAATAACAGCTTTTTGGTAGTACTGTAAGGTTTGCAATGCACTTTATATACATTATCTCAGTATATCCTTGACTCTTGCCATCTGAAATGCTTTTCTCTGATCTTAGACTTTTCCCATTATATCTTTCCCTTTGCCTCACACTTCCTAACCCATATCACCCCCCGCCCAACATTATTCCGTAAACTCCAGTGACTCCCTATCCCCTCCAGGATCAAATATAAAACCTTCTAGTTGGTGTTGAAAGCCCTTCACAACTTCCTTTCCCCGACCTTATTCCCCTCCATTTACTCTGCGATCCAGGGACACTGGCCTCCTTGCCTTTCCTCAGACAAGATACTCATCTCCTGATTCTAGGCATTTCCTCTGCCTTTGCCCAGGCCTGGAGTCTTCCCCCTCTTCCTCTCAGCCTCTTGGCTTCTCTGGCTTCCTACCACATTCTGCATGAAGCCATTTCCCCTTTTCCCTCTGAGATTACCTGCAATTTATCCGTCTGTAGCTTGTTTGTACCTTGTTGTTTCATGTTGGCTCCCCCTTAGACTGGGAACTCCTTGAGGGCAGGGATCGTTTTTGCCATTGTTTTGCCCCAGGTCTTAGCACAATGCCTGGCATGCTTGTTCATTTGATCTGACATGACTTTATGTTAGGCCCAATTTTTCCTCTTTGCAACTTTCACTTATTGCTAGTTCTACTGTCTTGGGCTAAACAGAGAAAGCCTAATCCAGCTTCTATTTCATGTCCTCTCTGATTCTTCTCTCCTTGAGGCAAAACATCCCCACTGCCTTCAGCTTATCCTCCCCTTGCATGGTCTTGCATGACCTGCAGGGTCCTTCTGGCCGCTTGCCTCTGGATGCTCTCTGGCTTAGCAATGTGCTTCCCATGTGGCACTTGGATGCACCAGATGGGGGCTGACCGGGACAGCTGTCCCTGCTTTAGGCCTCATTCTGGGCCTCTCTTCATGGAGCCTAAGGCCAGATTGGCTTTTTTGGTTCTTCTTGGAGTTGAAGTTCACTTATTACCCCCTTCTTCTGGCCTGATCTTTTTTCAATCAAACTGCTGCTTAGCCATGCTCCCCTAAGCCATACTTCAGAGGTTAATTCTTTGGACTCAACTGGGAGAATTCACATTTTTGGTGATGGTGGTGGCGACAGCGGCAGCAGTGTTGGGTGGATCTGGAATTCAGCACCATAGGCAACTCCTTGTGTGGGAATTCCCTCTACCAGTGCAGCTCAGTAACTGTCTTAGATAGTTACTTGGGGCGCTAGAGGTTGCGTGGCTTTCCCATGATCACATAGCTAGTTGGTGTCAGAGGCAGAACTTGAACATAGCAGGAGGTTAATGCTAGCTGACTTGACCAAATAAGGAAAATCGGGGTTCAAGTTCTTAGCCTAGTACTGGGGATGCAAAGAATGGCAAAAAGAGGATCTCTGCCCTCAAGTAGCTTACAGTCTAATAAGGGAGACAACGTGCAAACAAATGTATAAACAAAATCTATAGATGTCCATTTGTGGATATATGTGATCTATTTACTAAATATAGCTAGATCAGAGTGATGAAATATACAAATGTATATTTATATTTCTAGAAATAGATTAAATACATAGATGTAGGTTTATAGGATTATGTAATAGAGATTTATTAAATATATTTATTGAATATATGCATATATTTATAGAAACATAGGTTTATATTTATGTAAATATGCTTTATATATTTATATATAAAATATATAGATGTAGACTTATATTTGTACAATATAGATTTACTAAATATATTTATTAACACATACATATATTTAAATAAATATGTGTTTATATTTACATAAATATATGTATTATATATAACATATAGATGTAGATTTATCTCTTTATTATGTATATCTATATATATCTATAGATGTACATGTGATACATCAGGGATAACCAAGAGAGTAAAGGCACTGGAATGAAGGGGAATCAGTGAGGGTTTTTCTCAGAAGGTGGGATTTGAGCTGAGATTGAAGGCCGCCAGGGAGGGGGGGAGGGAGAGCATTCCAGGCCTGCTCACAGCCAGACTACGGAGACAGCATGGAGCTGTGATTTCAAGACTCCATTCACTCTCTCCATGTTACCTCTCCACATTTATCCTTATTAGATTTTCTCTTCTTAGATTTGGCTCAATGTTCGAGGAAGTCAATCACCTTGAAAGTCCTGATCCTATCTTTCCCCCAGAGTTTAGCTGTCCTCTCAGTTTTGTGTCATCTGCCTTTGACCAAATCATTGATAAAAATGTCAAACAGTGATGGGCCTGGCACAGATCTCCTTTGGAGACATCCTTTCATGGAACCACTAATGACAATCCCTTTGGATCTCATAATTCAACCAGTCCTGATTCCACCTAATTATGTTTTCTGTATCTTTCCATCTTTTCCACAAGAATGACTTGAGGGAATTTATCTGTTTTGCTAAAATTGACAGCATTCCCTTGATCTAGTAATCCCATCCCAAAAAGGAAATAAGTTCAGTGTAGCATGAAGCCATGATGACTCTTTGGGACCATGACTTCCTTTTCTAGGTGTTCATTTATCTGTCTGATAAGATTTGCTCATTCAATAAGTGGATGAATATCTTCTCAGGTTTTTCCAAGAATCAGCCAGCCTCATTGGCTTCTAATGTACTCACTCCATTTTCTTCCTTTTGCTGTAGATCAGGACATTTTCCCTCCTCCCAGCCTGTACCCCCTCAGGATGTTTTTCCATACTCTTTCAGAAATCAGTGATAGGCTCAGCAATCCCATCTGCCAGTTCTTTTAGCACTCTGAGATTTAGTCCATCAGGGCCTGGTGAGATGAATTCACTCAGAACAACTAACTAGGCGCTCTTCCTATGGTACCAGCTCCCAATGAACCCTTTTCTAGCTGTTCTTTTCATTCCAGAGATCCTATTTCTTGGTAGGGCCAACATGCAGTGTAAGAGGCAAGCAGCTGGGCCCTCTCTCTGCTGTTGCTCTCATCACCCCCCCCCCCAGCTGAGCAGAGGTGGCACCCCTCTTTGAGTGTCCCTTCTCAGTGTCTCTAAGAGAGACCTTCTGGCTCTTCTGAGCTTTTCTGCCCAGTCTCAGCTCAGTCTGTGCTTTAGCACTAACGGCTCTGTTCTGACAGGACCTTGCCATGCCTTGTATTATTTCCAAGGGCAGAGGACAGGAGAGAGCATTCATTTTAAGCCATTGAGGTCATTGTGAAAGATCTTGGAAGGTCTGAAGATATTTGTAAACTGTAGAGGGCCATTAAATGGTGGAAGCCTTTGTAAAGAGTAGGGGACAATGTAGCTAGTGAAGAGATGTGTGAACATTGGAGGGTTTGATGATCTGTAGAGGGCTTTGTGGATGGTAGATGATGTCTTGGAGAAGGTAACAGCAGAACTGGGCCCTGACAGACAGGGTCAGGAATAGGTAGTGGTGGGGGGGGATGAGGCAGAGAGGAATCTTCTTTTAATATGTTTGGGAGCTGGGCAGGGCCAGCAGGGGACAGGAAGGAGAAAACAAGGCTGGCGGGGTTGGTAGGGCTTAGTACATGGAGGGTTCTTAGAGTTGTTTGGATTAGATCCTGTGGGTCAGAGAGAACCAGGGAGAACCTCTTGGATGGGGAAGGACAGTGAAGAAAGCGGCAGTTTAGGAAGATGAAACTGAAGAGCAGCCTTAAAGACTGGATCAAGTACAATCCTCTCATCTTACAGAGCAAGAAACTGAGGAAGCTCGGGGGGGAGGGTGGGGGAAGGGACAAGGCCCCAGGTCAGACCTTTCATTCAGGCTTCCTGACTCTACCCAGGGTTCTTTGTCCTTTGCTCCCTGCCTCTCACCCCAGGAGGCGCTCATTCATTTACTCGGGTCACTTTTCCTACTCATTCTTTCATTCACTCCCTTACTGCTTCATTTGTTCTTTGTTCAGCCCCTACTGTGTGTAGGACCCTGTGCTGGCAGTATTGGGGGGTAGGGTATAGGGGGAGGCAGGGAGGAAATGCAAGGCCAATTCTGAGCTGGGCCCTGCCCTCTGGGAATTCCTCAGCTAGCATTCTTAAAAGAGTTTCTCCCCTTGGGCTCTGTGAGGGGAGTGCATCTGCCTAACCAGTCAGCAGAGCAAGAGTACCTACTGTGTGCAGAGGCCCCTGCTGGGAGTGGTTTTGGCCCATGTAGCTTGGCCTGACCAACCCTAGTTTCCCTCCCTCCTCCTCTGTCCTCCTCTGTTCTTCTCCCTTGGCCCAGCTTGGCTCCCCTGTTGGGCTCTGGGCTCATGGCCAATGATGGGGTAGAGAGGCAGTGACATCAGCATCGCTGGGGACAGCCAAGGATGGAGGCAGCTGGGGACGGTGGGGGCTCCCGGGAGGAGGTGAGAAGGAAGGAGGCGGCCCTGGACTCTCTCTCTTTTCTGCAGCTGCTGGAGAAGAGGCAGGTGATGCCCACACCCTCTGCCCGGAGGTAGGGACACATCCTGCCTGGCCTGGGGCCTGGGGGGCTGAGGAGTTGGGGGCACCAGAGGGCTGCAGCCTGGAGCTGCCTCTCCCACCTTGAGGGTGAGGAGAATGGGGGGTTTCTTTTCCCTCATCCCTAACCTCTGGAGAAGGAGAGGGAGATGGGAGGAAGAGAGGAGGCAAAGAGAAAGAAAAGCGGCCCCAGTCCAGCCCAAATGACTTGACTAGATGATGCCAAAGACCCTTCTAGCTCTCTGCTAGCGAGTCCATCAATTACATTGAAAAAGCACCAGTTGGGTGTTCGGGAGGCCTGAAAGCTTTTCCTGTAGGCCCAAGGAGGCTGTTGCTCACTGGCCATGGGATCTCTCTGGGTGTCTGTTTCCTTCTCTGTAAAAGAGGAGGTCATGGAGACTAGATGACCCCTAATGTCCCTTCTAGCACAAAAAAATGATGACTCAGTGACATTGCTGGGGAGTGAGCCAGGGGGTGGAATTCCACCCTTGCCCACATGCAGATGAGTTCAGTGTTTGAGCTGTGGGCCCCCGGGGGGACAGGAGCTCTCTCCAGAGACCTTACCACAAAAGAGGCCCTTCAGACGGCCCAAAAGAACAGGTGGTTAAGCTGAGTTGATGCTGATCCCAAGCCCAAGGGTGTGTGCAGTAGAGGGGGCGGGGGTGGGGGCGAGGCAGCCCAGGAAAGGGGGAAGGATTGGGAGCCAGGCCCTCCCTCTGAGTCTCCAGTGATAAAGGGAAGGTGCGAGGTGCTCTGCATGTGCTCATGTCTCTGTTCCCCTGTTGTAGCCCCCAGTAGCAGGGGGGGACTGGCTTTTGCTTTGGTCTCTCTCTGGGGTCCCAGCTGCTCTCCCAGTGCCTGGCTGGTGGGATCGGGGGCTTGAATCTGAAGGCACAGTTGGGTGACAAAGCAGGCCAGACCTAACCTGACCCCAGGCAAGAAAGGCGAGAGTCTCTCTAGCCCCTCTGCACTCTCTGAGGGCATCCGTGCCAACTTGTACCTGACCAGGAAGCCCTCTGGGCACGGGCAGCTCCGAGGACCAGACCAATATCTCCCTCAAAGAGCAAAGGAGATGATGTATGGAAACTGCTTTGCTATCCTTGAAGGCTCACTCAGTGAGAATGGCTGTAGTATGACCTGGTCCTGGTCAGAGCCCAGCTGGAATGGTGGGCCTAGGTTACATGGCACAGTTTTTGGAAAGACTGACAAGTCGCAGTGTGGGTAGGGCAGGGCAGTCGGGATGGCGAGGGGACTGGAGGCCTTGCCACATGAGGGGCAGCCTGGAGAGAAGATGGGGTGGGTGTTTGTGCGCGTATGTGTGTGCGTTTTGTGCACCAGTGTCTGGGATTATGGGCTTTGTCTTTCAAGTATGCAAGTTCGTCATATAGAAGGGGAACCAGCTTTGTGTCGCCTGGCAGCCCCAGGAGCAAGGTGGGTAGAAGAATAGGGCTCATAAAGCTATAGGGGCTGGCTGGATGTGAGGAAGCATTTTGTGATAGTCAGAGCTACTCAAAGGGAGTTGGGAAGTGGGGTCCCTCCTCGTATATAGGGTGCTCTCGCGGCTGGGTTGGACAGGCTGCCATTTTGGAGATCACTCCCTGCTCTGCAGTTCTGTGTTTTGCTGTTTTGGCATGATGTAGCTGGGGCTGTGTGGGTTCAGATCCTGCTAGCGGGGCTTACTCTCTGTGTGACCTTGGGCAAAGCCCTTTCATCAGGTTTCTCTGCACAGCAGTGGGTGATGGACAGACAGGACCTGCCCCCCCGCCCCCCATTCCTTTGCAGGCTCATTTTGAGTCAAGTGCTTTGTAAACCATAAAACCAGGACTTCTTATTAGGATTATGGGTGTCTAGGCTTGGATCCAGGCTCAGCAGGAAGGTCTCTTCCAGCTGCTTCCGCTGGGTTTGCAGGTACTGCTTGGGCAGTTGTCAAGTGGTAGAGGAATGCCAGCAAAGACAAGCTTGGACACAGAAGGCCATGCAGAGTGGAGTCCCAGCTGGATTCTGACCACGCACCCGGGTGCCACCTTGAACGTTTCCCTCTCAGCGACTCGGTTGCCTCATCTGTAAAGTAATAAGGTCGGATTGCAGGTCTGACATTGGAAGGTCAGAGTTCTTTGGGCCCCTCCCTGCAGCAGTGACATTTTGTGACCCAGTGTCCCTTCCAGCTAGGATGTCCCCCAGCTCTGGCATTCTGTGCTCCCACAGGCTGTGGCTAACTCACTCTCTTCCCTCTTCCTTCAGGAGACTGTGAAGTGCCAGTGCCGCTGACCATGTCTGACGGTGCAGACAGTGAGGAGAAGCCCCCAGCCCCTCCGCTGAGAATGAACAGTAACAACCGTGACCCCTCTGCCCTCAACCACTCCTCCAAGCCCCTGCCCGTGGCTCCAGAGGAGAAGAACAAGAAAGCCCGCCTCCGCTCCATCTTCCCTGGAGGAGGGGACAAAAGTAATGTATTGCCGGCTGCTCCCTTTTCTCTGCCTATGGCCACACTCCCTCTGGGCCTCCCTGGGGGCTCTTGGGAAATGGCCTTTGAGCCGAGGTTCTCTGTCTTTGTGAGTTTTCAGGGTTTCCTAGGGTGGGGAGTCTGGGCTTTGACCTAGGACAGTGGCTCTGTCATTTTGTGACAGGAGGTTTGGCACAGGGGACACAAGAGACCTGGTTTTGTCTCTAACACTTGCCAGGTGACATTGTTCGCAGGGTCTCAGTTTCCCCCAAAATGTTAAATGGAGATAGTGATTATAAAAAGTATGAGCAGAATACAAAGTGCTTTGGGATTGGAATCCAGAGAGCTAGGTTTGAATGCTGCCTCGGTAACTGACTACCTGTGTGACCTTGGGCAGGTCACTTCCCCTTATATTGGGTCAGAGTTTCCTTCTCTACAAAATGAAGGGTTGGACTTGAAGATTCCTTCAAGTTTGAAATCCTATGGTCCCTCCATAGCATAGTTTTAAAATTTATCTTTTTTATTAAAAATATTTTTTGCATCACATTCATTTCTGAAAATATCCCTTCCCCCCCTCCCCCCCCATGAGCCATCTCCAGCAAGAAATATTTCCATGGAAAGTAACACAAAGCAAAGCAAAGCTGACAGTACATGTGGTGTTCTATCCCCATAGGCCCCCACCTCTGCCACATTTCCTCAGCTCTTCTCAGGGCCCGAGCTTGGCAGTCATGATCAGACAGTGTTTGGTTTGCACTGTTTTCTGTGGTTGTGGTCACTGTGCGTATTCAAGGCTGGCCATGGCCACCAGGCTCTGCCCCTCCCCAGCTACCCTCCTGCCAGAGATGGGTAGCCAATCACTGCTTGCTCCTGTGGTAGCCCCTGGCCATTCAGAAGAGCTCTCCTCCTTGGGAAGCTGGGATCTGCGTCCCCTGTGACTTCCACCACGGGGTCTAAGTTCTGTCCTCTGGGACCAATCCTTCTTCAAGATGGCTTTGTCTGGCATTTCAGCCAGGAACCATGTTGCCACTGCCCTAAAGGTTGTAATTGACCTCTCTCTGCCTGGTAGAAGGATTAAATGAGAGAATATGAGTTAATTTAATTCATTTCAACAAACATTGCTTAAGGAATAATTATCTTTCCTCCTTCCAACTCCTAAAATGTCAGATCTGGATGGGAATGTAGATATAATTTCATTTGTAGGGAAACTGAGACCCAGGGGCTAGGGAAGGGGCTTGCCAAAGGCCTCACTGTTCATCAGGGCAGAAGGAGTAAAACTGAGCCTCAAGGAAGGGAGGAGATCCCCCCCCCCCGCCCAGGGTTATACTGCAAGAATTCAGGTCCCTCTGACCCAGGGATCCTTACTTCCTATCCAGGGCTCTTTTGGATTCTTCATGACATGATGCCTCAATAAACAGGGAATCCTGTTAGGGTGTGGTATGGATGGGCTACAGGGAGCTGGGTAAATGGAACATGACCAAGGGTGCCTGAATCCCCAGGGATTGTTCATTCATTCATTCATTCAACAAACATGAATTCAGCAGTGTCCCCTTCCTTCCTCAGGGCACCCCTCTTTTCTAGTGAGATGCTTTGGGAGAAGAGAGAGCAGTAGGATTGGTACTAGAGAGCTGGTCCCAGGAGGGGTTGGGTGAATGTGCCAAGCACCAGGGTTCACGTTCAGCGTGCTGTATACGTTGTGTAGAGGGTGCTAAGTTGAAGGTGGCTGGGTGGCAGTTGAGTGGAGCAGTAGATAGAGTGCTGGACCTAGACCTTTGTTCAAATCTAGCCACAGATACTTCTTAGCTGTGTGACCCTGGGCAAGTCACCTCACCTGGGCAAGTCTGCCTGCCAGATTGTAGTAGCCCCTACATCCCAGGGTTGTCGTGAGGATCAAACGACATCATATTTGTAAAAATGCTTAGCACATAGTAGGTGCTGTATCAATGCTTATCCCTTTATACCCCTAAGATAGGTAAGGAAATATAGTGAGCTGTGAACCCTATGTGATGTCCAGGGATCCAGCTCTGGGTTGTGTTTGCAAGTTGGCACATTCTTTAGACACTGGCACAGTGGAAAGGGGTGGAACAGGGCTGGCTTTGACAACTGACCTGGGACTGGCTTCTGGCTCTGGACTAAGTCACTTCACCACCCTGGGCCTCTGAGGGCCTTTGGAGTTCCACATCCTTGGTCCTAGAGTGCCAATTAGATTTTCTCTTCCCCATGTTAGCTCTTCAGATATTCAAGAATGGGTACTGTTTGGGTCACCCTCCTAGTCTTCTCTAGGCAAACACTCAATGCGTTTACCCATTACTTTAAGAAATATTTATGAAATACTGACTGTGTGCAGAACCTAATCCCTCACCTCAGATGTCCTATCCCCTATTCCTAAACCCCAAGTCATCTCTTCTCTAGGCCCCACTCTGTTCTTTATTAGCAGAGGAGGAGACCCAAAGTTGTATAAGGCATAGTCCCTGCCCTCAAGGAGTTCATAATCTTCTAAGAAAGACCAGACAAGGACACAACCATAACATAAATGACTATGTCATGTCTCGGATGAGAGCTGGTTGCTTAGGGAGAGCTCATTGGAGGACAGGAGGCCGGTCCCTTGCTTTGTGCTCAGAGGCGCATATCTATACAAGAGGAGATAAAAAAAGGGGAGAAGAAGAAATGAGGCTTCCCTTCCTGTTGTGTGGGGCTGCTTCTGTCACTGATGTGATGGTAATGGGAGAAATGAGTTTCCCTGTCAGGGAGCAGGTAGGTGTGAGTCTTCAAACCTGCACAAGGGAGCTCAGAGATGCCTAGTCCAACCTATCATTGGGATTCAGGCCCAGTTATAGGGTATTCTCTTCCTCCAAAGACAGCCCATTGCATTGTGGGGCAGCTCTGAGTAGTAGGAAGTTCTTCACTCTTTCATGCCCAAGCCTGCCTCCTATGACCCCTCAGAAGCTCAAAGTAGGAAGGAAGTTTAGATGGACACCTATTGCAAGCCATACCATAACAAAGGGTCATTGAGATTCTACTTGGGGAACTCCAATGCTGGGGAAGTACCGCCTCCAAGGCAGCCCATCCTACTTTGGGGAAGCTGATCTCCCTGTTAGCAGGTTTTCCTTAGATGGAGGCGATATTTCTCGGCTGTCCTCCCATCGTTCTAGTTCTGGCCTAACTTTCCAGTTGTCTGACTTGCTCATGTCCCATGACCTCCTCCTCCACCCCATCTCGACTACACTCAATGATGGTCATGCCCTTGATTTTGTATCACTCACAATGTTCTCCCTCCATCTTCATGAAATTCCTTTAGCAGATCATAAGGTTTTTTTAAAAATCATTCCATCTTTCCCTCTATTCTTTATCTTCCCTGTGACCTCCATTTCCTCTACCCCCCAGTTTTTTCCCAGGCCTTCACCCCTTTGCTGCCTGTACTCTCATCCTCTCCCTATCTTGATGTGGCAGTTTAACTCTATACCGTCTTCTACACTCAAGTCCTTTGCCCTGATGCCCTGTTGCTGATCATGTCTTGTCAAGCCCCAACCCTGGATTTCTTCCACCATCTATAGCTTTTGCTTCTACTCATGTGCTGCTGAACAGAGCTGGGTCCACTAAAAATTTATGTTATGTAATCTCAACTGGGCCCTCACTGCAGCAAAGCAATCCTTTTATACCTCCCTCATTAATTCACTATTGCACTCATCACAACTCTACAGTCCTCTGGTTGACTTTTAAATCTCTTCATAATCCAGCACCCTCCCACCAGTCCAGTCTTCTGATACCTTCTGGCCCTCTTCCATCCAGTGACCCTGGCCTCTTTGCTGCTCCTTGAACAAGACCCTCCATGCCCTGACTCTGCAATTTCCTGGATACATTGAGTCTTCTCTTCTTCATCTGTGATTAACCTTCTTTGCCCACATGCACCAACCTGGTTGGAGTCTTGGGAATGTGATAGACTGATGGCCCTTGGGAGCTCAGACCCCTAAGTGAATAGTAGAGGAAGAGAAGTTGGGCCTAGGTGGCCCCAGGGGAGAAAACGGCAAAAGTCTTTCCCCCCAGTGCAAGATGGTGGATGGTCACCTGTCAAGATCAAAGCCAGAGTTCATTCCATTTCCACCAACACTTATTGATTATCTACTAGGTGTAAAAAAAAGACACTTGATGGCGAATCGTTGGTAATCTGCATTGAAATGAAATGATGGCTTTGGACCAAAACAATTGTGGAAAAGCTCTGCAAAGATGAAAGCCACAAACAAATCCTTCTGTGAAGTTCGGATTCAGTCAAAGGGCCTCACTTGAGGACCTAGAGGGCCAAAGGCTGCCCACCCCTGCTTCAGGAGCTTCCATCATTGTATATACATGTGAGTGAGGTAGGCCTTCCCTCCCTTCGGCAGTGCCTTGTTGCCCACTGAGTCAGCTCCTCTGAACTCCCTAGCTTTAGCACCTTAGATCCCTTCGATCCATGGGCTCCAAGCTCCCTCTCCACTAGAGCGCTCTGTGGGCTGTGAGCCCCCATTTTCTTGTCTTTGCTTATACTCTTCCTTATGCCTGGAATGTCTTCTGTCCCTTCTTCACCTTGGAATTCCTACCCATCCTTTCAAGCCCAACTCCCAACTTCTTCAGGGAGCCCGTCCTGATTCACCTTGGCCAGTAACAACCTTTCCCTTTGGACTACACATAGAATATTGTTTGCAACTCCCAAATCCACTTAGTGTTTTCTTCCTGCCCCCTATTTATATAATCTTTATTTCTTAATGACTCCACCCTCACCCCCCCAATTAAACACTTTCTTGTGACACTAACAAAGACCAACAGTTATTCCAAACCCATCAATACATGGGGCATGTCTTGCAAAGTGTGCTGTATTCAGTTCCTCTTGTCTCCCAGAAGGAACACTTCAGTATCAGGCCTCTTGAACTTGGGACTGGTCATTGTGCCTGACACTTAATCATGTAATGTTGTTGACCCTGCCTCCCACCCACTGCTGAAGGCAGCGACTGAGGCTTTTCTATACTTTGTGTCTCTTACAGGGAGCTCCTAGGGTTCTGTACATGGTAAGCACTTAGCTGATTTGATAAGTGAAGCCCCTCCCCCCTATTCTAGACTATGTTCTAAGAGAGCAGAAACCAAGTTATTTCATCTTTTTACCCCTCCTGGAGCCTAGTTCAGGACTCTGCCTAGCGGGAGTACTTCATAATAAGTGTTTGATGAGTGAATGAATGAATGAATAAACAAATAATTTGGCCAGAAGAGAGAATGGCATGGACAAAGGAGAGATAGAGCCCAAATGTGCCAGGAAAATCCCAAGGTCTTGGTGTTGGGAGGACCCCTGAGGCCTTCTTTTATGGAGAAGAGACTTCCCCAGAGGGGGGAGTGGACAGGCTTGGAGTCCTGCAGGAGGTAAGTAGCCACGCCTGAGGGAGAGCACACTTTCAGGTGTGTGTGGGGGTGTGCTTCAGGGCAGGCTGCTTCAAGGGGCAGCCCCTGAACTGATCTTTTGGACTCCAGTGTAGGACTTAACATTTACCTTATTAGTTACATGCTTCAGTATTTCAAAAGGTCCATGCATGGGTCCTTGCACCAATCTAGGCTAGAGCCTCTAGGACTCAGTGGATGGTTTCACGAGTTGCTATGGCCAAAACAATCTTCTCCTCTGAGGACCAGCCTTCTGGTGGTGAGACTCTCAGACCCATCACCATTGGTGGGTTGTATTCAAAGTCTGTCCAGCTCCACAGGTTGGCAGAGCTCAAGCCCACTTGAATTAGGAAAGGGAGAATTCCAGTGGATTCATTATACACACACACACACACACACACACACACACACACACACACATGATTGCACGTATCTTTACTGTGAAATCTTTTTAAGGAAGCAGCTCTTTCATTTTAGATAAAGATGGCTTGTTCCTTATCATCACTGCTTTCTTGAAAATTGATATGATTTAAGGTGCCACTTTAGACCTCAGGTTATAGAGATACTAGATTTGGCAGGGAGTGAAGGGTGCCAAGGAAGGGCAACTTGTATGTAGACCAGTATTGTATTCAAGTCAGAAGAGCTGAATTCAAATCTCAAGTTGGATACTTAGTGGCCGGGGGACCCTTTGCAAGTCACTTTCCCACTCAGAGACTCAAATTTCCTCATCTTGATAATAGGGATAATAATCCTGATCCTGTTTCCCTCACCGGGTTATTGTGAGGAATGTGCTTTGTAGAATGTAACGAGTAACATAGAAAAAGGACTTGTGATCGTTCTGGTGTTTTCCACTTGATATCAGACTATGGGCTGTGCATTTGTGTGACTGAATCTAATTGATGCCAGTTTCTATGGTATAACAGAAAGACCACATGAGCAGAATTTCTCCTGATGTCAAATGCATGTGTGTGGCATAGGAATTAGAGGGAGCAAGGCCTTGAGGTGTGCCTATAGCTATCTCCCATTTGCCCATATTTTGGCTTAGAGTATTGGACTGGCTGGCACCTGGGAAGGCTCTGAAGGGAGGAGGAGTGGGACAGGAAGGAATGGAGGGAGGAGAAAAAGGGGATGGATGCAAAACCTTGAGGAGGAAGAGGGGGTTGGGTGGGGAGCTGCCAAATGATGCCTGAAGGGGGGCCTTTGGAGCCTCTATGCTTTGGCAGTGGATGCTTGAGGGCTGAGTGAGCTGTTTTCTCCACTGAGGATGGAGGGTTATTGTTGTCATTCTTAGACATTTCAATAAATCAATAGACAATTATTCAGCACCTGCTAAATGCTAAGCATACAAAAAGAGGCAAAAGGCAATCCCTGTCCTCAAGGGGCTTACAATCTAATGGGAAGGACAGCATGCATCCAAACATATACAAAGGAAGACACTGGGATGGGGAAAGACTTCCTGGAGTGGAGGAGCTGGAGCAGAAAATCTGGGGGCTGAGAGATGGAGGGTCTTGTTCATGGAACAGCCTGGGGACCAGCGTCGCCGGATTGAAGACAATGTGTCAGGGAGTAAAGTGTGGAAGGACTGGAAAGGGAGGATGGGTCAGCTTAGGAAGGGCCTTGAATGCCAAACAGAGCGTTTTGTATTTGTTCCTGGAGGTGACTGGGAGCCACTGGAGTTTCTTGACTGGGGGGAGGGGTTTACATGATCAGACCTGAACTTTAGTGGCCGAATGGAAGGTGGATTGGAAGGGAGAGTGACTTGAGGCAGCTGTGGCAGTAGTCCAGGCATGAGGTGATGAGGGCCTCCATCAGGGGCTGGCAGCATCAGAAGAGAGAAGGGGGCATGTTTGAGAGATGTGGGAGATCCTAAGTTCTGTTTTTGACATGTTGAGTTTCAGCTGTCTGCTGGCCATCCAGTTCAAGATGTCTGAGAGGCAGTTGCAGATGTGAGGTTGGAGGTCAACAGAGGGTTTGGGCCAGGATGGGTAGATTGGAGAATCAGCAGCACAGAGATGGTCATTCAATCCGTGGGAGCTGAGATCGCCAAGTGAAGGTGTCTAGAGGGAGAAGAGCAGAGGGCCCAGGTCAGAGCCCTGAGGGACACCTATGGTTGGAGGGCGTGATCTGGAGGAGGATCCAGCAAAGGAAACAGAGAAGGAGCAGGCAGAGAGGGAGGAGGAGAACCAGGGTAGGGGGTGTCCTGAAAACCTAGAGAGAAGAGACCATAAGGGGAGAGATATCAATCTGGTGATTCTTGGTCCCCTCCAAGTTGGAGAGTCTGCCATCGTTAGTATTATCGTTATTATTCAAAGCTCTAGACAGACCTACCTTGACTTGCAGAGTCAGAGAGTTGATTATGATAATAATCTTCAGCTGTGCTGAAAAGACTCCTCTTTAGAGGCTCGCAAATTTCTTCTTTTTAGTGATTGTTAACAGCCAGACTGCTCAGCTTGGGTAAAGGTCATCAGATTCCAACAAGAGAAACTTGTTTCTTGTGTGACGCTGTGCCAGTCATTTCCCAGTTGGGCCTTTGGTTTCCTGGTTAGACTCCAGGTGTCAGTCTGTGAGTTTGCGGTGCTGCTTGATCACGGCCGCCAGTCAGCCTCTGGCCCTCCTCTCTTTTTTTTTTCTTCCAGCCAACAAGAAGAAAGAAAAGGAAAGGCCAGAGATCTCGCTTCCTTCTGACTTTGAGCATACGATCCACGTGGGGTTTGACGCGGTCACTGGGGAATTCACTGTAAGTAATTCCTTCCCATCTTCCTGCTCCCTTCCCTTCTCAGAGCACACCTCACAATTGCCTGGGTTTTGGTTTGTCCCCCAAAATACTGCAGGCCATGTGATGGCAGGGACTCTGTTGGAAATGGGTTGAGAAGTAAATGGGAGATGGGGAAGTGGAGGCACTTAGACAATGGTAAGGTCTTAGATTACTCTAAGAAATTGACAAAGCAAGAGAAGGTAGACATAGGACAATAGCTTGGGGGATGCAGGGCCAAGGATGGAAGAAACCTTTGTAGGCTTGTAGGTGGCAGGGCCAGTGCCAGGAGACAGGCAGAAAGCATCCTTCCGTCGATGAGAAGGGATGGGATCAGGGAGACAGCTCCAGGGGATGGCCTTCTGCTGTTCTGCCAGCTGCCAGTGCCTCCAAGTGTAGCTTGGAATCCTCAAATCATGGCTCCTCCGTCCTTCCAAGGACAAGGGAGCCCATTCCATTTTCAGACAACTCTTCCTTCTGCTGGCTGAAAATTGGGCCTGCCACAGTCCTCTCCCATCATCCCTTGTTCTTTCTACCTGCTCCCTTCCATGGAACAGCTCTCCTATCCAAAAGGTTCTAGACCATGGGGTGGCAAATGTGGCCTGTGGGCCATACCAAAATGTAAAAACCATCCTTAACTCACAGGCCATACCAAAACAGGTGGTGGGCCAGATTTGGTCTGGGGGCCAGAATTTGCCCACTCCTGCTCTAGACAGTCTTAGATACACGTCTTGGCCCCTCCTTGGATATTTCTGGGGCTCAAACAGAAGAGGAGATTCGAGCGACTGTGTGACTTTTGGGCCTGGTATCTTTGCATGGTGGGTAGCTGGACAGGAGAGAGGTGCTAGGAAATAGATCCCCAGGGAAACAAGCTGTCACTTTCCATCCCAGTAAGCACCTGGATTGCTGTGGTGAGCTCATGTTATCACAGACAGAGCTAGAACGGACCTCAGTGGCCAAACCCCTTATTTTGCAGATGGGTAAACTGAGGTCAATGCAGTTCACGTTTATTAAGTGCTTATTATGTGCAACACCCTCTGCCGGGACTAGCAAGGGAAAATGGAACTGAGGAGACTTAATTCCTGTTTAAAACCTTAAGGGGAGATAAAGCAGAGACATGGCCGCAAGATAACAATAAGCCAAGTTAGTAAGTGAATGTCAGAGCTGGCTGGGGGTGCTATCAGGGAGAGCTTTGTGGAGGAGAAGGCGTCCAAGCTGGGCTGTGCAGGAAGGGAAGGATTTCAGTGGCACAGGTAGCAGCCTGGACGTCCATCCTGCACAGAGAAGATGCCAAAGACATTCAGATTGGTTGGAGTGATTGCAAAGATTTTTTCCAGCTTTGACAGTCCCTTCCTTTCTCTGAGCCTCAGTTTCCTCATCTGTTACAGAAGGATAGTACCCATACCACCCACCTCCTGGGGGTGTTGTGAGGAAGCAATATAGAAATGAGGAAGCTGTTATTTGAATTATTATCATCCACCTCTTTAGACCTTGCCAGGTGCCTTCCTGTCAGTAGGAGTGAATGAATCAGAAGGGATCATGGGAATCACAGATTTACTGCCAGAAGGGTTCTTAGAGTTCATGCAGCTTAACTCCTTTACTTTAGAAACAGAAAACAGGCCCAGGGAGGGCAAGAGCCTTCCTCCAGGCCCCTTGGCTAATAGTTGACGGAGCAGGACTCAGACCCAGGCCCCCCGACTTCCAGTCCAGTTCCCACACAGACGCAGCATGGAGGGTACCTGGGGTCAGGGGGCCTGGCTTTCACTCTGGCCTTTGCCATTTCCTGGCTGTGTGATCCCTTCACTTGGCCTTGGTTGTGTCCGCCTCACCGGACTGCAGTGGGTGCAGCACTTTGGACTTTCAGAGGCTGTCCAAGTCTATGATTCTCTGATGTCGGAGTGCTAAGCTGGACCCCTGGCTGGGTGATGGTGCAGGGGAAGGGTAAGGGTGGCCCCCCAGCTTGCTTACTATCTGTTTTGTTAGGGCAGTCACTTCTTCTGTAACGTGATTCTGATGGTCCCCAAAGTTGGTGGTAGAACTCTATTACCTTTGGCCCTGGAAAGTACTACGAACCATGGCCTGAGTAAGGAGAGCACATTGAGAATTTTCCTTTTTACAGGTGAGCAAACTGAGGCCCAGAGAGGGGGAATAACTCACCCAGCGTTGCACAGCAAGTAAGGGTCAGAGCTAAGATTTTAATCCAAGACTTGACTGTCCCCAGTCCAAATGTCTTTCCACCATGCCATGCTGTACTTCGTAAGCCTAGCTTTCCATTGGCTGTCCTAATTTGGGACCCCATCAGGAGGCCCCGCTGATTTTGTGGACCCAGACTTCTCTCCTGTGGGCCTTCATGGGATCATCCCAGCTCTCAGATTAAGAGCAGACTTGGTCAGCTGGCAGCAGTGGGGTGTGGCAGCCATGGTGGTGGTCCAGGAAGACTTAGGCTTTGGAGCCTTCATAGCTGTGTGAATCTGGGCCTCTTACTTCTCCTTTCTTAGCCTCAGTTCCTCCTCTGTGAAATGGGGAGAATAATAACACCTACTTCACAGGGTTGTCAGGAGGCTCAAATGAGATTGTGTCTGGACCTTGTGAACTATAAAGCCCTCTGGAGACATCGGGCCTTATTGTAGGTCACACATACTCTTGTGTTTTCCTCGAAGCTGTCTGGCTGAGCCCTGGGGCTCTAAGAGCTGGCCTGCCTTAGGCTGAGAATGGGGGCAACTTGGCATTTTAGCCAGCCTATTGCCATCAGTTCAGCTTGGAATCCTCCCTCGGGGACCCACGGGGGCGCCTGGCTTTGGGTCTGAGTTTTCTGACGTTAGCATCTAAGGGAGTGGTTGGCACCTAGCCAGAAGATTGTTTTGCTGTGTTCAGAGCAGGGCTGGTGGGGGTGGCAGCGGTAGGGGGCCACGCTGCCATTAAGGCTTAACTCAATTCAAGTCAACAAACCTTGAGGAAGCTCCTGTTGTGTGTAAGCCCTTGTACTCAGCGCTGGGGTTACAAAGATGAGAAATGAGAGAGTGCCTGCCCTCAGGGAGCTTGCAGGCTGATAGGGTGCTACAAGGTAGAAGATTTCCTATACCACAAAGTGTCAGAGGGCATTTGAGGAGGGAGAGAAGCCCTTCAGCTGGAGGAGAGGGCAAGGGAAGGAGGAGGCTCATGGAAGAGGAGAAGGCTTCTGCCAGGCAGAGTGAGATAGCTGAGGCAGAATTGGCAGTGGTGTTGGAGCAGACCTCTGGGAACCGGAATGGTGGACCGCGCAGTTGGCTTGGAGCCCAATTGGGAGGGGCAGGTGGCGAGGCCAGGCCAGTGGAATCAGTCGGGCCGCTGGAGGCTTCTCTTTGGAGACATGGCTGCCTTTGCAAGCTGTGCTGATGCCTTCTCTCTGGTCTTGCCATGAGGGAAACGGGCCTTTCTACTCCCCTGGGTTGTTTCGAGATGAGGGTTACTAGAGCCTGGTTTTAAGCACCGAGGACTTTTCCATCCCCAGCCTACCTTACTAAGGGGTCTAGTCAGAGTCATGATTTTGCCTTTGGGGACTTGGGCTGCTGTGGATGGCGAGCTGAATGTGATGTGGCAGCCAGATGTATGAGCTAATGTGTTCTTAGGCCACGTCAAGAGGGGCCCAGCTCCCAGAGAGCTAGAGGCCCGGCGTCCTCTGCCCCGGGCAGGTCAGAGCTGGAAGCCAGTGTTCAGCGGAAGGGACACTGACGAGCTAGAAGAGGGTCCAGAGGAGGGCAGCCAGGCTGGGCGAGGGACTGGAGTCCATGCCATTTTGAGGATAAAGACAACTGGGCCTGTTTAGTCTGGGGAAGGGAAGGCTTAGGACAGTTTTCAGGTATTTGGAGGCCAGCCACATGGAAGAAAGATTAGACATCTTTTGCTTTCTTGACGCAAGGCTAGGAGCAACAGGTGGGAGAGCCAGAGATAGAGAGGCAAACTGCAGCATGCTGTGAGGAGAAACTTCCCAACTGTTAGAATGGGCCAATCCACAAGTGAGACTAGGCTGCCTCATAAGGTAGTAAGTTCTCCATCCCCGGAGATATCCGAGTGGAGGATAGGGTGGGGATGCTGGACAGCAGATTCTTGCTTAGCTAAGAGTGGATCAGATGCCCTCTGGGAGGGAGGGGGTGGTCCCTGCCAGCACCAAGTACCTATGATTTTGTCAACATTTGTTTCCATGTGCCAGGGAGACAGTTACCCTTTGACCATCTACTGTGTGAGAACTGATGGTGTGAAGCAGGATTTGGCCAGGGGTGCGTGTGTGCACCCTATTCTCATGGGCATTGGTTATTTTGTTTTCATCTTCTAGCTGGACAGGGGGCTGGGGAGCGTTGGTGGGCAGAGCTGGGCTTCTCAGTTGGGTGATTTGGGCATCAGGGCCCTACTCTATCATCAGGCCAGGCAGAAGAGGCACTGGTCCTGTCTTTGCTCCCTCGGAGCTGGGGAAGCCACCTAAGCATCCTGGGCCTCGGGAGAGGAGGGTCAGGGTGGGATCTGAGGCTTTACATCCTGGATGATAAGAACACAGGCAGTGGTGAGACTCCCTGTTTGGTTTGGTGGCTGGTGGTCGCTTTTCTGGGCTGGGCCACGGATCCTCCTTAGTCCCATGAAGGGGCTGGACTCGATGATCTCCAAGCATCCTTCTAGCTCGCATGGTCTTGGATTCTGGAGAAGCACAGAGCTGCTGGCCTGGGTTCTTCTTGTGTTCATTACTGCCAAACTTGGGAGGTGCCCATCTCTCCCTTCCTCCTTCCCTGGCACAGGTTTCTCCAGGGTCAGAGGTCATTGCATGTTGGAGCTGATGGGAGCCTCAGAGATGATCTAGTCCAGCCCTGTCATCTTACAGGGGAGGAAATAGAGGCAGCCTGGAGAAAGAGGACTAGGACAGGCTTGGAGGCAGGGGGCCTGGGTTCGGATTCCGGCTCTGTCACTTCCTACTAGTATGATTCTGGGCAGGTTGCTTTTCCGTCTCTGGGCCTCAGTTTCTTCCTCTGTAAGATGACAGGGTTGGATGAGATGACCCCTGTGGTCCCTCCAGCTCTAGCCCTCTGATCTGCTGCTCACCATTGAGTTTGAACCCCTCATTTTACAGATGGGGAGACCGAGCACTGAGCCCAGGGCCCTGCACATAGTAGGTGCTTGATAATTATCTTTATTGAATTGAATTGAGTTGCTTTGCAGCTATGATGTTTTTACAAACCTGTTTTATTGATGCTCTTCTCAAACCAAGGCGCTGTGACTCCCCAATAATCACTCCCTTCCTCCCCTTCCCACCCAGAGAGCCCTCCCTTGTAACAAAGTCCATCAAGGCAAAGTAATCCTTCGTTTGCCGGGGCTGCTGGTGTAGGGTTCATCCAGCAGGCCAAGGGGCTGGAGGCACGGGTCAGCATCTGTCCCCCGAAGGGGGACTGCAGTGAGCAGGGCTCTGAAGGCTTTCAGTATGGCTTTGATCTTGGCTGTACTGTTTCTAATTCTAAGCTCAGAGCCGCCTGGGGCCCCCTCACCCCACCCTGTCATTGCCCTGAGGCAAGAGTCAGAGGAGGGGGGTCAGGGAGCGGGGAAGGGTGAAGGGGGAAAGAGGGAAGTTGGGGTTGGGCTCTCTGGCCAAAGAGCAGTACTGGCATGGGTTCAGGACCACTGCGGAACTCCCTGCCCTTGCCCCGGGCCTCCCTTCCCTTCCCCTTTGCCCCCTGGCTTCCCTGTGCCCCATCCCCAAGCTAACCAAGTCAGGGTGCCCAGAGCTGGGCCACCCTCTGGGAGCCCGGAGCTCTTTCTCTCTTGGAATGGCTGCTGCTGCTGCCGCTGCTGCCGCTGCTGCCGCTGCCGCTGCCGCTGGTGGGGGTCACAATGAGGAGAACCATGTCAACGATGATGGTGGTGATGATGACGACGATGGTGGCGACAACGGTGAGTCCCCCTGGTTGCTCTGCAGGGAATCCCTGAGCAGTGGGCAAGGCTTCTTCAGACGTCCAACATCACGAAGCTGGAGCAGAAGAGAAACCCACAGGCCGTGCTGGATGTCCTCAAGTTCTATGACTCCAAGGAAACTGTTAACAACCAGAAATACATGAGCTTTACTTCTGGAGGTGAGCAGCCTCTCCTTGGTGAGTCAGGGGGGCCAGGGTCTGGGTGCCCTGCTGAGAGGACCCTCGGGGTAGAGGGAGATGGTCTGAAATAGGGGGGGGGAGGCAGGAGATGGTGAAGGCATAGGCTCCATGGGCCGGCTGCTTTATAAAGGGACCTTAGCCCTCTCTTCCTGATCCCACCATGAGAACATACCTTAGGTGAGTAGGTAAGGGTTGGGGGGTAATCCTCAGCCTCCTCTTCTCCAAAGTGAGGACAGGCCTGGCTTTGGTACCCTCAGTGTCCTCTCCTGAGCTCAGCATGAACTTCCTGGCCCTCCTATCTCCCTTGGTACCATAAGGCCATTCCTCCAGGGAGAGATCCTCGCCTTCTCCCTCTCTCCATGGCTTTGGGCTCCCAGCGTCCCATCCTCCTCCTGAGAGCTTGGGATCTAGCATACCTGGTCTTGGTTAGTCCTTTCTCCTCTCTGGGGCTCCATTTTAGGGCCCTGGGGGCCGAATCAGAAGAAATGGGGAAAATTACAGAGGAAAATGTGGGGCTCCACGTGGAGCCCTGCTAGCAGTGAGAGCAGTCTCCAGGCGGGACCCAAACTGCCATTGGGTGTGTGGAGGGGGGAGGCTGGGTGCCCTCCAACTCTGAGGTTCTGTGATGCAGTCAGCAAGACTGGCCCCCAGCACAGATAGAGATGGGGCGAGGTCCCCGACCTGCTCTTACTGACTCAAGGGTAAGGATGGCCTGGGGCCAGGAGAAGGTTTGCTCTATAGTAAGGCCTGCAGCCTCTTCTTGTCTCTCTCCAGAGGACAGACAGGCCTGACTGGGAAGTTCTCTCAGAGTCCCTCCTGAGGCCCTTTCATGAGGTCCTCCTGGCAAGGGATGTACCCCAAGGGGGCAAGGTCCAGGGTATCAAGCAGCTCTAGGGACATTGTTGGGAGTTTTATTGAGTCTTCTGCCCCCCTAATATCACTGTCCTTCCCCAGTGATGACCCCTCTTCTCAGTACAACCCTCATGAAGTGAAAGAAGCCAACACTTTGGCCTTGGCAGACACTTTGCTGAGAGGTGGGAATTCTGGTTTGAGCAGCGGTCCCCTGAATCCATGGCAGAGCTCCCCTGGCTTCCTTTATGCCCTCTTTAGATATTCTGACACACAGCTCTTCCAGCCTCACGGGCCCCAGCTTGTACCCGAGGCTGGGATGGAGCAACCTTCTTGGCTGTACCTTTTCCATTCGCCTTATTTCCCGGCCTGGGGTGTCTGTTTCTCTCTGTCCCTGCCTGCTGCTGCAGACCTGCACGTCCCTGTCACCCTTGTGGGTGACGAGGGAAGGAAAGAGGACAGCAGGCTGGAGAGAGGACCAGGCCATCAGAGGCTGGTGAGCCTGGAGAAGGGAACGCCCAGAGGCACTCTCCCATGGAGGAGGGATTCAGCTGGCTGGCTCTGTTTGGCCCTCAGGAAGAGCCAGGAGTCACGAATGGGGGGAAGCTGGCCAGTGGTTCAACGTTACAAAAAAGCACCGTTTCCTTCTAAGTGGAGCTGAGCTCAGAAGGCCAAGTGGGCTGGGCCTTGCCCCCCTGTCAGTTGCTGTGCTTTCAGTTGGGGATCTTCAGTTGGGGATCTTCATTTGGGGATTGTGCTTGCTGGCCTTGGGGCTTCTGGCCAGCTCCAGCTCCCTAGTCTAAGCTTCTTTGTGAGAGGCAGCCGAGGAGGCAGAGGGAGGCTCATTCCCTCCCCTCTCAGCATACTCAGTGGAGTGAAGGAAGCTTTGATGTGGCCTGGCCTCCTGGTGGGCCAAGCAGGCCCAGGAATCTCTGAAAGCTGAGGTGGGCATCTCAGAGCCTTCAGGTCAGGGTTTCCCCTCCCGGTCGGCACTTCAGGCCCCGTAAGTGCTTGGGGGGTGGGAAGCTCCTGTCCAGGCAGCTCAGGCCACTTGGGGATGGCTCTCATGGCTGACAGCTTCCTGCTGACATCCAGCACTGACCCTCTGTACCCTCTCTCCATGGCTCCTGCTTCTGCTGTCTTCGGCTCAACATTGAAAAATCGTTTATTAAGCACCTGTTGTATATCCTACTTCGCCCTTTGTCATCCCCCCCCCAACTAGATAAGGGGGCACCTTTCCTTGGTTGCCTTTGAATCATGGGTCTTGAATCGTGGACGGGGTCTGCAGTGGTGGTCCTGGGGCTTTACAGAGGAGAGGGGCTGAGTGGTGTCTCTGCTTTGTTTTTGCTCCTTTCAGATAGAAGTGCTCATGGATACTTAGCAGCCCACCCTTCGGTAAGCGACCATTGGAACTGTTCTGCCTCATCTTCATTTCTGCTGGGATGGGTACAAAAGATTTTAGGTGTAGAACCACAAAGACCTCAGGGCTGGGCTTGGAAAACCCTTAGCGATCAGGATGTCCAATCAGGGAGTCCGTGAGGCCCAGACAGGGGCATGTATCCTGGGAGCATCCATGTTTCTCAGCCAGGGTTTGAAGGCCTTGCAGACCTGCCATGCCTGAGGCCTTGAATGGCAGAGCCGGAAGGGCCCTTAGAGACCACCCAGTCCGACTCCTTTATTTTATCTTGTAATATTTTCAGGGGACTTTTGGTTGATGTTTTCCCATTACCGGCCCCTCCCAACAAGCCCCACAGAGAACCTCCCCACTGCCCACCTGCCATTATGAAGGGAAGCGGCTGAACCAAACAAACGGGTCTGTGTACTGTAGCCGTCTGGCATGGCCATGATACCCTATCTGTCTCCTGAGGTGACTGACCCCTTTTCCTGGAGGGGCTCAGAGACAGTTACACACCAAGTCTGGCAGATCAGGCTGGAACCCACATCTCCGTTATCCCGACATGGTGTACACGGGGGCTGGTTGAGGCCCTCTGCTGGGCTGTGGTCATCCTGTGGCCAGAGTTCCCTTGGATTCAACACTTCAGCATCTTCGAGATGTCCCTGGATTCACCCTGATGTTCTGGCCTCCTACACATGCAACCAGAGGGACCCCCCCACCCCTTGGTTGGTTGCTGCCAGCTTACCCTGGCTGCTCATTAAGCCCTCAATAGAGCCTCCATATTTGAGTGCATTTGACAAATTCACGTTTCTTGTTTCATATTTCTATTGCATTGTTTATCATAGGACCCAGGACTCTCAGAGGCCATCCAGTCTAACCTCCCACCTAGGGCCGAGCGTTCCCAATAGGTGGTCAGCTGGCCGGCCGTGAAGGGGAAATCACTACCTCCTGGCATAGCCTGGCCCATTTCTGGACAACCCTGATTGTTAGGAAGTTTTTCCTGAGGTTGACTAAAACTCTCTCCCCACATAGCTCCCCCTGCCCACTTTGGGCCCACTTTGGGCCTAGCTCTGCCCTCTGGGGCCAAGCAGATTGAGCCTGATTCCTCTGCCCCATACCAGCCCTTCACATCTTTGCATGTGTTTGATTTCCATTGCAAAACTCACAGCCCCAGTGCATGGCAATAATGCAGTTCTTAGGGGTGAATCAGGGCCCATATTAAGGAGGCGAATGTGTTTTAACCACGGCTGTGGCCACTCTGGGGTAAGATGCTATTGTCAATGATCCACAGCAGACTTTGATTCCAAGACCAGCTTCCCTCTGTTACCTGGATACCTCAGCTGCCGAGGGAGTGAAGGCTCAGGTAAACATTGGAATCAAACCATATAGCCAGAGGATGGCTAAGCTAGAAGGGGCCCGAGAGACCATCTCGTTCACTTTCTTGCTGATATGATGGGTGCATCCTGCTCACTAATATGAGACACAATTAAGAGCAAGATTGAAAGAACTACAAACACCTAAGTATGACAAGGTACCCCCACTCACTGACCTTTCATGGTTCATAGAATGACAGAATGTCATTCATTCATTCATTCATTCATTCAGCCAATATGCCAATGTGCCTACTCTGTGCAGACCCCCAAGCTGGGTGAGAGGCCAGATTTTGAGGCAGTGTGATTGTGGACCAGGAGTCGGGGAGACCTGGGTTCAAGTCCCACTTCTGAATGACTAGGAGTGTGTCCTTGGGTAAATCATTCAATCTCTCAGAGCCTCACTTTCCTCATCTGTAAAATAGGAATAGTGGTACCCATAGTACTTGCCTCATGGCATTGTTGAAAGAGTCAGTTCAGATAACATTTGTTAAAATGCTTTGCGAGTCTTGGAGAGCTCTGTAAAAGCCAGCTCTCGCTGGGTAAGGCATGGTGCTTCAGCACAAGCCTGGAGAGTTAGAATTTCCTACAGTAAATGTGTGCATGGAGCTGTGAAGAGGAAGGGCGTGATCACCTGGGGAGACAGGGGACAGCTTCTTGGAGGTGACTAGAGGCCACAGGGTGGCTTTGGGAACAGAGAGGAACTCCGTAGAGCTGGAGCATCGAATGCATCTAAGGGAGGGGGAGGAGAGAAGGCTGGCAAGGCAGGAGCCGAGCTGGGGAGGACCTTGAATAAATGGCAGAGGAGTTTGTCTGACACAGAAGGACCCTCAGAGACCCTCTGGTCCAATGCTTCTCATATTACAGAGGGGGAAACTGAGGCAAAGGGAGGGGACACGAGATCATATTTCTAAAGGGTTTTGCAAACCTGAAAGTGCTCTCAGAATGCTGCTTATTATTGAGGTTATTGTGATGATTTATATTGTTGTTATCCTGAGTCATTTCCATAGTTGCAGACATGGGATTAAAACCCAAGTCTTCTGGCTTCCAGGCCAGGACTCTTTTCTCTTTCTGGTGCTGCCTCCCATTTCAAATAGCTTTGCTGTTTTTAAACGCAAAGACAATTAATTGTGTTTGTTCCTTCAGGGGAAAAACAAAACTCCCTTTTACCTGAACGTGTTTGGTTTGCTTAATTGTTCTCAGTGCCTCTCTCTGTACTTCGGGCACGCGTTGCAGTGGAACAAACCCTGCATGCCCAAGCTCTGGCACTGACTTGGACAAATTGCTTCCTTTTCTAGGCCTCAGTTTGCCCCCTCTGTAACATGAGGTGGTTGGACTAGAGGGTCTCTGAGGTCCCTGCCAGTTCTGACAATCTCTTATTCTATGACCTGTGAAAGAGCAGGTGTACCTCATCGTACCTAGGTATTTGTAGTTCTTCAAATCTTGCTCTAGACTGTGTCTCATGTTGGTGAATGGGATTCATCCATTGGGAAGGGGGTGGACTTGGGGGTCTCTAAGGCCCCTTCTGGCTCAGATGTTTTTTAATTCTATATTTTGAATCCAATGTTAAAATGACATGTCAATCTCCTTGCAAAAATTCCTGCCTATGGGCCAGCATGTCTGTTGAAATGTGTAATTGCCCCCATTAGAAGAAGAAAGATAGGGAATGATTTTATGCTGAGTACTTAGATACCGTTTGCATTGGTAGAGTACCAAAACAGCTTCAGAACCTCCCTTGGCTCCCCCGGTGTCTGAAGAAGAAGATGAAGATGAGGAAGAGGAGGAAGAGGAGGAGAATGAGCCCCCACCAGTAATTGCGCCACGCCCTGAGCACACAAAATCTGTAAGTTGCCCTGAGCGGTCCTAATCCCTGATTGGGCACCGGCTGTGTGCCTGGGCCCGTGGGAGGTACTCCCTGGGAGAGGGCTGGTGAGTAATGTGCTGTGGCATGTCCTCAAGGGGCTTGTAGCCTCACTCCACAGGAAGCTGGTCCAGAGGTCAGTGGCACCAAGCGCTCTTCTGGGACCCGTTCTGGTTCCTCCCCCCACCAATGCAGAGCCCCAGCTCTTGGGGGTGGGGAAGGGGAGCCTCTTTGCCCTCGGTTAGCCTGGGCCTTGCTGGGCCTGTCCTCATGGGCTGTTGGTCACTTTGGTGGTTATCCTCCTCTGAGGCCACAAATCAGAGATGCCATGTAAATGCCTTGTGAATACATGAAGAAATATTGGCCAAGTGATATTAAGTGACTTTGACGAGGTCACACAGCCAGCAGGTGTTCAAACTCAGACTCTGTTGGTGTTCAGAGAAGGGAAAGGGTCAGCATGGGCTGGAGCAGCCTGGGAAGGATTCTGTAAGGGCTGGAGTTGCAGGCCAGACCATGTCAGGTCAGGGAGGCTTGGGAGAGGCAGAGAGACTGGAACTTGGGGGTTTCTTAGAGAGGTAGGAACAAGGGCCTGGGGGAAAGGGGTTGGGGGGGGTGCTATTGACCCAGCACATCTTTCTTTTAAAAAAAAAAGTTTTCTTAGTGGTTTTTTTTTTTTTGGTGAGGCAGTCAGGGTTAAGTGACTTGCCGAGGGTCACACAGCTAGTAAGTATCCAGTGTCTGAGGCCGGATTTGAACTCAGGTCCTCCTGACTCCAAGGCTGGTGCTCTATCTACTGCCCCACCTAGCTGCCCCCACAGTTATCACTTCCTGATGGACATTGCACCCCCTCCCCTCCAAACCTTGCCAAGTACAGTTTAGCAAAATGAGCCAATCCATCTAGGTCAGGTAAAGCATGCCTTATTCTATGCCCATAGTCCATCACCTCTCTGATGAGAGGTGAGAGGAAGGCTGATGGGCCCCTAGATCACTAGTTGGGAGGACGGCCCTCAGACCACCTTGGTTGTCAGCAGATTTTTCCAGAGCCAGGCCACTTGAGACGGAGCACTCCTTTCCCAGGAAACGTCTCTTCATGGTGGTTCTGCGTGTCTTTCAGATTTACACGCGCTCCGTGATGGATGCTGCCCTGCCAGTGGCTCCCCCCAAGGAGGCGTCTGCCCCCACGGCAGAGAACTCTCCCTCCAACACTCTGTATCGCAATGCCGACCGGCAGAGAAAGAAGTCCAAGATGACCGATGAGGAGATCCTGGAAAAGCTGAGTGAGTGCTCGGGCCCCCCTCCCCCCAGCTCTCTGGCTGGAGGGGGTGGGGAAGAACAGATGTTGTGACACCCTCAATGGGCCAACCTCCTCCTCTTTGTAGCATCCCAAGCTCCCAGAGCTGGGTCATAGAGTCATGGGATTTAGAGATAGAATCAGCTTCCCTGTTGTGTTACAGATGACGAAACTGAGGCCTAGAGAGGTCCTAGTGCCACAGATTTAGAGTTGGAGGGGACCTCAGAAATCATGTAGTTCAGGGTTCGGCAAACTAATCTGACCCCTCACCTGCCCACCCGCCCCCCTCACCCCCTCCGCCCCCCCTCCATTGCTTGTTTTTGAAGAGCCTGAAAGCTAATAATGGTTTGGACATTTTTAAATACAATAAAACTTTATTTAAAAATGTAAAAACCATTCTTAGGTGGTAATGTACAAAAACGGGCATTGGCCAGATTTGGCTCATGGGAAGTAGTTTGCTGACCCCTGATTTATTCTAACCCTCTTATTTTACAGATGAGGAAACTGAGTCTCAGAGAGGTAGAGTGACTTGTCCATGATCATACAGGTAGCAAACAGCAGAGCCAGGATTTGAACCCAGGTCCTTCGACTCCTTATCCAGCTACCCCACACTCTTGCCCAAGGTCACACAGCTAGTAAATAGTAGAGCTGGGATGGAAACGCAATTCTTCTGACTCCAAATGAACTGCTCTTTCTGCTAGCCCTCCTCTATTCCAACCCATAGTCCAAGTAGGAATCCTCTCTGTAACATCCCTGACAAATGCTCATTCAGCCTCTGCTTGCAGACTTCAGGGACGGGGAACTCATTAGCCTTCTAGGCAGCCCATTCCATTTTGGGACAGCTCCAGCTGAGAAGTTTTTCATTCTATGGAGCCTAAGTCTTTAACCCCACTGCTCCTGGTGCTTCCTCTTGGGGCTAAGCAGCTTAATGGAACTCCAGAGTAACAGGGTCTCAGTGAGGCCCAAGCCTCCTGCCTCCCACTCCCAGCTGTTTGTCTCAGGTTGCAGTTGCTCCCATTTCCCAGAGGAGCAGCCTGAGGCCTTAAGCAAGGCATTCATTCCCCTTAGGGGTTTGGGGGCCTCATTTCCCTGTGCTGTTGACCAGCCTGTGGTCTTCGTCCTTTTTCTCCCTCCTAGGAAGCATCGTGAGCATTGGGGATCCCAAGAAGAAATACACGCGATTTGAAAAAATTGGCCAAGGGTGAGTGAGTTCCTGCAATTACTGCAGGGAGTGTGTATGTGTGTATGCGGGCTGGCTAAGCAGTAGCCCTACTTGGGGCCCACTTTGCTAAGGCTGCTCCCAGCAGTCCCCAGTCTAGTAAGGGCCTCTGGCAGCAGCAGGCCCAGTAATGGTAACACTGTGGCATTTCTTACCTAAGGAGGGTGCTGGAGAGGAAAGGATAATCTTTATGGTGGGGCTGGTGGGGAGAGGGGGAATAAGCAGAGAGGGCTTCCTGGAGGAGATGTGGCATTGGAATAGGGGTTTAAAAGACGGATGAGAAGTCATCAGGTAAAGGACAGGAGGGTAGACATTTGAGGTCTGAGCAGTGGTGTGGGCCAAAGCTTGGAGACAGGAGAGCACAGGGTGTGTGCACACGGAACTTACTTAGGAGGCAGTTTGGGGGCAAAGCAGGGGATTGCTCTCAGCATCCCTGCAGCGTTGGGATCTGGTGGTTGTCTGAGTCCCAGACATCACAGCACATGCTGAGAACCTCTAGAGCCAGCGGCACCTGGGCTGGGTGGACACCACCCCCCCCCCACACAGCCTGTCACTTACTAGCTGGGAGACCCTGGGCAAGTCCCTTCACCACCCATTGCTCAATAGCTTGACTTCTGGCCAGCAATGGCTTCCTGACCTCCAAGGTCCCTTCCACCCTAAATCCTGGGCTGCTTTTAGACTGGCCCCCCTCCCTGCGGCCAACAACTGACCAGGCCCCCACTGCTTTGTGCTAGTGGCTGCCCACTCTTCTTGGCTAGCCCTCTTCTGCCTCTTGCAGCCCCTGCATGGGCCATGCTTCAGGGCCTAGTGCAGATGTACCCTCCTTTCCTGAGGTGAAAGGCATCAGTACTCCCTGCACCAGCTCCCCTCCCTGCCAGCTGAAAGGGATCAGTACTTCTTCACTTCCGCTTGCCATGTAATTCCTGTCTGTGTCCCTCCCTCCTCCTAAGCAGACAGAGTGAGGGTGTGGAAAGTCAGTGGTATTGCCCTGAGAATGGGCACTCAGCAGGCAGTCAATTCAGTTCAATCCAACAAGCATTCATTAAGTACCTCATATGTGCCAAGCTCTACCCCAGGCACTGAGCACAGAAAGACAAAAACCAAAATCATCTCTACCTTCAAAGAAATGATATTCTATCTGGGAAAAACACAGGGTATATACACAGGGCATATACACATGGACATATAACACACACATCACTCCAAGATGTCTACAAAGTAAATCCAGTGTCATTTCTGAGCGGGGTAGCTCTAACTACTGGGTCCTGAAGCTGGGGGTTCCACGGTGAGGAGGGACAACATTCCAGGTCTGAGAAAAGGCGTGCAGGCAGGAGATGGGATATTGTGTCTGGGGAAGTGCAGACCACTAGCCAGGTTGGCAGGAGAATTGAAAACACTGGGGGTAGTGACGTGGGATCAGCCCGAAAAGTGTGGTGGGAGCCAGCCAGAGGACTTTGCAGTAGGGAGCCCCTGAAACTTCTTGAGGAGAGGAACATTTCAGTCAGACTTGGGCTTTGGCAGCTGGGGGAGGACAGACTAGAGGGGAGTGAGGCCCTTGGACGGATGAGATAATCTAGAGGGAGACTTACAGGTGCTAGCATCGGAGCCTGAAACCCGAGGCATCCCTTGTGTGACCTTGCTTGGCCGTCCTGGGCCTCTGTTCTCTCCCTTAGAAAATGGCACTTTCTGAGGTCCCTTCCAACCCAAGATTGCTGGCAACTGATTAAATGTGGGGGAGTGAGGGAGAAGGAAGAATGTGAACCCCAAGGCTGTGAACCCAAATGACAGCAGTGCCCGGGGCTGCTGGGAGGCACCCATGAGAGAAGACAAAGCGAGTGCTTTGTAAACTCCAGCTGTCACTGTTACTGTGGCCCCCCAGTGGGCAGGCCTCCTGAGCCGGGGGGCTGGCACACACATGTTATGAAATGGAGATAACAAACCAAGCAGTCAGTCCAGCCCAAAGTGGCCGCCCAGTGATGCCCATCTTGCCAGCCAGAGGGATGGTAGGAGGCAGGATGGGTTTAGAGGCAAAGAGGGCAAGTTCTGATTGAATACCTGTGCGCAGAGGGGGAGAAAGCTTAGATAAGTTGAGGAGCCTGCCTGCAGGAGGCTCACAGTTTCAGGGGCTCACTCCTGGTGTGAGAACTCCCTCCGAGGAGGGGAGGATGAAGGGTGGAAATAACAAGGTTGGAGGAGCCACGGTCCTCCAGAGAAGAAAGGAGGACTTTTGAGCAGGGCTTTGCACCGAGCACTCTCAATCCCTTCTTTTCCTTCCAAGGGGCAGAGAGGCAAACAATTGGGCCCAGTCACTGAACTCTTTTCTCCATTCTCCCCACCCCCCAGGGCATCAGGTACTGTCTATACTGCATTGGATATCGCCACAGGACAAGAGGTAAGTGCTACCGTCTAACCAATCTTCAGGGAGCCCAGGCCCACCTGGCCTCAGGCCCCTGTGCCAGCCCTCTCTCCAGAGATGTTGGGATTGTTTCAGAGGCTGGTGGGGAGGGGGGCCCTCCTGGATCACATTCATGCTTGGGTCTCCAATGTCCTCTCAGGTGGCCATAAAGCAGATGAACCTGCAGCAGCAGCCCAAGAAGGAATTAATTATTAACGAGATTCTGGTCATGAGGGAAAATAAGAACCCCAACATTGTGAATTATTTAGACAGGTAAGCACCTCTCTGCTGGGGGCTGTGGTGGCGGGCCGGCGGGCCTGTTGCCTGGCATAACTTTAGGCACCCTTTCTAGAGAGCCTTCATCAAGCCTCCCAACACCCTTCCCAGCAAGGCCTTATTATACAGTGAGAAACATTGAAGCTCCAGCAGGTGAAGTTACTTGCCGCAGGGTGTCACAGCTAGTAGTAACTACTGGGGTCAGGCTTTGAACCCAGCTTGTGGTGACTGCAAGCCCAGCCCTCCAGCCCCCGTGGTATGGAGGCTCCCATTTTGGCCTTCTGCAATTCGGTGGACAGCAAGCTGCCTGCCCCACATGTGGAGAATGAGGTCTTGACCCCAAACCCAGACCCACTTAGGGGAGTTTTCTGAGAATAATAAGGAGATTGCTTAGACACTGGGGTCTCCACACCTGGCTTTGTGGTCATGGGCTCTCTCTGACTTGGTCGTGAGTTCTAGGCCTGGGAGATGGGTAGCCCCAAGAGAAAGGCACAGGAGGAGTGAAGCTAGTCCACGGGGAAGGCTCCATGTCCCAAGCAAGCACATTATCCATACAGTTAGGTTGAGGCTTGGCCCCCGCTGCTCTCCTACTGTTCCTACCAGTCTAATGGTAGCATGGGCCATGACAGGAGAGGGCTGGAGTGGGCTTTGCTTTTGTAAGCCAGGTAAGTTCCTGGCTGGGAACCATTTGAAGATAATGGTTGTGGGGCAGCTGACCTCTAGCAGCAAGGTGCTCCACATGCTGCCTATGACTCATGAGCCTGACACCCGCTAGTTAGCTCATCCTTCCCTGAGAAGAGCGTAGTCATCAGTGTGGGAGAATCTGGAGTGAAACAGAGTCGGGCCTGTCTCTGTCAAGCTGGGTCCAGTCTTGGCTCTGTGTGTCATTGGCTGCGGGCCCTCGGAACAGTTCCTTCTTCCTCCTGGGCTTCAGTTACCTTCTTTGTGAGCTGACAGGGTCTTAGGTTCATCATGCAGGCGTGAGCTTAGAGCGGAGAGGACCACAGACACCAATGAGGCCAAACCTTCCATGTGACACAGGAGGAAATGGAGGCCTTGAGTTTGGAGACTCCTGGGGTGTCAAGAGAAGAGAGAAAGGCTCAGAATGTTCTGAGGCAGTCTGGGACCTTGTGCCCCAGCAGGGCCCAGGACATGTATCTCCCTCACCCCAGGGACAAACATACCTGGAAACCCAGGCCCAGCCATAGCTCTGCACTACATCCAGGCCTTGCCTGTGTCTCAAACTCTCCCTCGTGATGATACAGTCAGTTTGCCAGTTTAAAGAAACCTGGCTGCCTCTAGGCCCCATCAGAGAAGAGAGGCTAGTGCCTGCCTCAGCCTCCTGGATTTTGGGAACAGCAGTCATTCAGTCACATTGGTTTGAAGGCAGATCTTTGAACTGTAGACCCGATACTTCCACTTGCCCCACGCTCCTCTTTAGATGGTCTCAGAGGAGCCTTCCTTCCAGCTCTGAGGGGCATGATTCTTTGTAATCTGCGCTGTGTAGAAAGCCCATGTGAAGAATTCAGATTAAGCTGGAATTATCCAGGTGAGCAGTCTACACTGCCAGAGTTCACTGCCAATTCCCAGAGACTCATTGCTCTTTCACTGCCCTGAACACTGACCTTCCCTTCTTCCCATTTCCTCCTCTCTCTCGTGTCTTTTCCAGAGGGCGACCATTGTGCCTTGGGGCCACCTTTGTTTCCAGCTTGTCCTTAGCATCATTCTAGAGTATAAAACGTGGATTGTCAGAGTGTAAAAGGACCTTAGAGGTCATTTAGTCCCTTTTGCAGATGAGGAAACTCAGGCCAGAGAAGTTAAGTGACTTGCCTAAGGTCCCACAGATACTAAGTAGCAGATTCGCAATTTAATTCCAAGTCCTTGGAGTCTTGACCCAGTTGTCTTGGATGCGTGATGGGGCGCTCCCTTAGCCCCGCCCCTTCCTTTGCTCCTCACAGCTACTTAGTGGGCGATGAGCTGTGGGTGGTGATGGAGTACCTGGCTGGGGGTTCTCTCACTGATGTCGTCACGGAGACTTGTATGGATGAAGGCCAGATAGCAGCTGTCTGCAGAGAGGTAAGAGGTCAAGACCCGCCCCAGGATAGGAGAGTCCTTGGCCCGGGAAATGATGGCCTGTGAGGACCTTGTAGGCCCGACGGACCAACCATGGATGACAGAATGTGCAGTATCCTCCAGGGTATCCTTCCCATTATTTCCAGGCCAGGGGTCTCAGGTGCTGCAAGGAAGGCCCCAGGCTCAATCCCCATTTCTCCCCAGGGCTGGGGTTGGAGATGGTGCATTGTGGCCTCCCGCAGGGCTTTTGGGGTCCCAGTGGTGTACCCAGCTGGGGAGGGTGATGGTCAGGCAGGAATCGTGACTAACCTGGGAAGTACTCTCAGCCCTTTAACTAACAGGATGTTTTTGCTTCAGTGTCTCCAGGCTTTGGATTTCTTGCATTCAAACCAAGTCATCCACAGAGACATTAAGAGTGACAACATTCTTCTCGGGATGGATGGCTCAGTCAAACTGAGTAGGTGCCCAGGGGGTGTGGGTGGGCCATTGGGGCGCTCCTGCCATTGTTGTTGAGGAGCGGCTAGAACGCGGGAGGGCCCAGATCTGGGGCCTTGGTGAGGGCATCGAGGCCTTCCATTTCCATGCACCCCCCTCTAAGCCGGCTGGTTCAATCCGCTTCCATTCAGGAGGTGCTTCTGCTGTGCCCGGTGTGCAGATACAGAGACAGAAATGGAACCGAATGGAAGCTTGTGGTGCAGGCTGCCCTTGAGCAGCTGGCCAGCTTCTGTTGCTCCATGTGGTGGCTTCCCAGGCTATCCCATCTAGTTCATGCCCGCAGAGTAGCTTAACAAATAGGGTGACCGAATCCTGCCAGTCTTGGCTGAGCCATGATTGAGCCCACGGTACTTACTGGGACAAATTTTCATCCTCCAAACCGGCTTGGAATCCTGGAATTTCCCCGCCACTCTTATTTGAGCTTGGGCGCTCAAGGGCCAAGGAGACCCCTTGGGCAGCTCCCCTTGTGCAGGGCTTTACTTCAAGAAAGTTGGGGGTTATTCTGAGTTCCCTTTGGCCAGGTGACCTCAGAGGTGGCCCTGAGTGGCACAGAACCTGGGATCTTGCCTTTTTGGAGAGGGTCCTGAATCCCCAGAGGAGGCCAACTTGGGTGCGGAGCAGAGGAGAAGGGGAGCTGTTGATCTAGGATCCCTTGGCCTTCTCTTTTCTTGGCCTCAGTTTCCTCATCTGTAAATAGGGCTGCTTGTACTTCCACTTCCCACGGATGTGCTTTGGGGCCTAGCCTCTTGGAGGATGGTTGGTGTTGAGTTCAGTCCTCTGGCTCTCCAGGACCTGCTCAGGAGATACTGGGCACTTACAAGGCTTGGGACCATCCAGACTCCATGAGGATCCCAAGGAAAGGGACATGGCGGGCCTGTCACTGCCAGCCAAGGGACTCCCCTTTTGGTACAAACTTGCCTCCCCTGGCTTTGTCTGCTCAAGGATCCAGTTTGGAGAGCGAGAGTGACAGGGATTGGACCTGTGATTTTTCTGGTAGAGGGAACTCCCAGGTGAGGGAAGTCCCTCTACCAATGCACGTGGGCGCTTGCTCTGGAGCACTAAGAGACATTAAGTCATTTGCCCAGTCACCCGGTCAGTGTGCATCCCAGGTGGGATTTGAACCCCCCAGCTCTTGCTGGCTTTTTATCTGCTGGGCCACAGGGTTTCTCTTGGGTAGAGGATCATTAACAATAGCCTCCATGTGAGCCCTAGGTGAGCTGCCTTTCCTGTGTGCTGCCTGCTGAGGCAGCCCCATCATGCTCTGGAAGTATTCCTTTGGGGGAGATAGGGGGGCGCGGGACACATTTCACAGCCGGGCTTGGATCTAACGCTGTCCTCTTCTCCACAGCCGACTTTGGGTTTTGTGCCCAGATCACCCCTGAACAAAGCAAAAGGAGTACCATGGTGGGGACCCCCTACTGGATGGCCCCTGAAGTAGTGACAAGGAAGGCCTATGGCCCTAAAGTAGATATCTGGTCCCTTGGGATCATGGCCATAGAAATGGTGGAGGGCGAACCCCCATACCTGAATGAAAATCCACTCCGGGTAAGTGGGATAAGGATTCCCTGTTCTGCCATCCTGCCCATAGCTCCAGGCTTGAGTGGGGCCAAAGTTGCCTAAGGCTGGTTCTCCCCTGAACAGTTAGTATGCAAGGGCTCCCTCTAGCTTTTCCTAAGCATTGAGGGGCATCTCCTCAGCCTGGGCTTACAGGCACTCAACGTTGGCCAACCTGGGCTTGTCTGGCCAGGCGCTTGACATTGGTAAGGGGTCATTCCTTGACTCAATGTATTTCAGGTCCAGAAGGTACCTCGGAGCTAGTAAGTCTACTTTCCAGGCCTCCCACCAACTGCCTGTGGAACCATGGCCCAGTTCTTTGCCTTCTCTTGGCCTCAGTTTCTTCCTCTGCTAAGCTGAGTGGACTGGATGAGATGGCCTCTAAGGGCCTTGGCAGCTCAGCCAGTCTAGAGTCTGGGCCCAGTGGTGTCCAAGGGCCTGGCCAACTCCTGGGGGAGGGTGAGCATTTGCAACCAGAGCAGCTAGAGCTTGGAGAGGCTGTAGCAGGGAAGGCTTACAGCAGTGGAGCCTCAGCCCCTCGAATATTTTGCAGGCACTGGCCTTAGCCAGGCTGGGCCAGGAGCCGAGAGAAAGCCCTATCTGGGCCCAAGGGGTCACAACCTCCTGCTCTGGGCTTGACCTCTGCCTAGAGATTCAAGCTCCCTGTCTGGGACTTTGCCTCAGTGTTTGTAAGCTCCTGTGCCCACAGGGAAGCAGCTCAGAGAGGCTCCCCTGAGGCCCTGTTCCCATGGCTTCCTCCTGAGTCAGAGGCCCTGTCTGTGTACTGTGGACAGACAGTTCCCTTTGATGCACGCTGGCTGCCTCCAACACCTCCCACCTCCAACATGGGGACTGAAGCAGGGGCAGGTAGGAGGGGTCCTGTGGAGCAGTGTGCCCCACTGCCAACTGTTAAAGAGGAGAGGGCCAGGCCAAGCCCATTCTTGGGAATTAATTGGGTCTCACCTAGATCTGGCCAGACAGTGCCTACATGAGCCAGGCAGGCCTGGAAGGGGAAGCCAGCCCTCCTAGGACATAGCAGCATGCTCTAGCAGGCTTCTAATGCGGGGTACAATTAGTGGCAGGGAAGTGCAGAGGGCAGTGGAACCCCTCCGTCTCACCCGTGTCCTGTCCTGCAAACTCCCCCAGGCCTTTCTAAGAGCTGAGCTTTGGCTTGGATTCTGGCCCCGCTGTGGACCACATGACCTTAGACATAGTGCTTCCCTGAGCCTTAGTTTCCTCCTCTGTAAAAGGAGGGGCTTGGCCTAGCTGCCTTCTGAGGTCCCTTCCTGAGTCTTGATCCTAGGGTTTTACCAGGTGAAGTAGAAGGGCCTTCTTGTTTGTGTTCCCAGCAGCCACCATGGTGCTCTGCACACAGCAAGTATTTGCTGAGCCTTTGGTGGATTGAACTGGAATAGTAGAAGCCAGCACTAGAGCCCACCTCCAGTGCCCTTTGCCAGCTGTGGGCCAATCATGTGAAATGAGGAGAAAGAGCCTTCCCTTAGAGTCCTCATGGAGTCGGGTGTGAGCACCCAATGAGCTCAGGGAGGAGAGGTCCTCCTGCCTCATTGTCTCCTGTCTCTGCCCAGGCCTTGTACCTCATTGCAACTAATGGCACCCCGGAGCTCCAGAATCCTGAGAGACTTTCTCCTGTGTTCCGAGATTTCTTAAACCGCTGCCTGGAGATGGATGTGGACCGGCGAGGGTCTGCCAAGGAGCTTTTGCAGGTGAAACACAGAGAAGGACAGTGGGAAAGATGGCAGGGCCCCTTGCCTGCCCTCTTGCTTACTTGGGTCCCTGGGTCTGCTCTCAGCACACACTTGTAGCTTGAAGGATTGCTCGGGGGAGATTTGATTTGCAGAGTGGGGCCTTGCTTCTAGAAAAAGCTTTTGGCTCAATGCCATCATCCCATTTTGTAGGGACTCAGTAACCTCAATTTCCGTGTGGGTTTTCTCAGCTTGGTTTGTGACTAGAGCCGATGAACGTGAGAGCCGGAACGTACCTTAGAGACATTCTGAGTCTACCTGCTCTGTCTCCCATTTCTGAGATGGGCAAATTGAAGTCCAGAAAGCATCAAAGGATCCCAGGAGCATCGAGTTAGCCTTAGCAATGTCTTTAGAATTCAGCAAGCCCAGCCCCTTCATTTCATAGAGGAAAAAGAAACAGGCTCAAGAAAGTGCCCTGACTGGCCCAAGTTCACATGTGTGAGAAGGAAGGCTGTTGCTCCAGGGCCTCTGTCTTCAGAGCGGGCACTTTTCCCCCAGTACCCCACTGTCCCCTCTTCAAAAGAGGAGGACCTTGTGTGTGTCGCGAGATCCAGTTCAGGCTTCCTACCCCCAGTCACGTCTTTTGTCTTCTTGGCCCCCTAGTGTTTTTTAATCTTCCCAAGGAGACTCACACAGGGCATCCCTGTGGACTCAGAGAAGGCACACTGATGTCAGAGTTCATCTATGAGAGTGAGGCCTTGCAGTGGCAAGGGGCAAAGTCTTTGTCTCAGAGGTTTTGAGACCCTGTGTCTTTAAGTCCTTGGCTTTGGGGAGTGTGGTGAGACTCCCATTTTCACTTATCATAACTTCAGTACTGGTGCTGGGGGCCAGAGATTTTTCAGCATCACCCTGCTGGGATTCTGTGGGCACCTGAAGCTATCAGACTTTGTCACCAACTAGCCCTTTGTTCTGTGGTGCCAACAGGCCACGGCCTGGGCCACGCTGAGCCTGCAGCCTGTGGTCGGTTAGTGAACGGACCGAGTGAGAGGACGAAGCCTGTAGGTGTTGCTAGAGCAGCACCCCTGGGCTCCCACAAAGGGCTCGGGAAGTCTCTCTCAGAAGTCGCAGCCAGGTGCCCGGCATGTAGTTTGGGACCTAGTAACTGACGGCTTTGTCTATACCATCTCCCAGGCCAGCCATTGCCTTCAATGGTGAGAGTGCATGTGCTGACTTCATGGCTTCTAGCCTGGGTGACAGGGTCAGAACTGAAGAGTGCAGGATAGGGTCAGTCATGTGTGTGTGTTCTCAGCAGCAGCAGCAAGGGGAAAACTGATGTCAGGTTTGTGACACATTGAGTCAGGGCAGCTGTGGGCTTTCCAGGTGGAGATGTTGAGCCCAGAGATAGGGGACTGAAGCTAGAGAGAGATTTGGGGGCTGTCCATTTGGATGTGGAAAGAGGGTAGAGAGAGAAGAGCCAGGGCCCGATGGCTGACCTTTGTGGGATGTCTGTGCAAACCAGGCAGCAGAGAAGGGAGTTTTCAGCAGGGCCGCAAGCTGCCGAGGCACCAGTGAGGCAGAAGACAAGAAACAGACCACCGAGTTTGGCAGTCATGAGGGTGGCTCTTGGGTAACTGTAGAGAGTCTTCCCAGGTAAACTGAACGCAGTCAGGGAAAGTCAGGGTGTGACTAGTGCAGGCCTTGACCTGAGGTCTCTGCTCTGTGGTGCTCAGTTCCAGGAAGGCATAGAAAAATGAAGAACAGAAGAGGACCTAGGGCGGGGTAGTGGAAAGATGCTGGCTTTGGAGTCAGAAGAGCCAGGTTCAAGTCATGGTGCTGTCTCTTACTACCTGCATGATCTTGGCCAAGTCCCTTCCCCTCTCTGGGCCTCAGTTTCCCCATCTGTTAAATGAAAGGATTGGACCAGACAGCCTCTCAGGTCCCTTCCAGCTCTCAGGCTCTGGTCCTATGGTCTTACATCAGTTGGGGACCCAGTACTTTTCATTGATTACCAGGGCATCCCACAGTGGTACAGAACAGAACATTAACATAGCCAAAAGGAACAGAATGGGACCTAGCAGCATGGCCTGTGGTGTTGAGGGGAGTGACATCCCAATAACGCTCAATCTTTTCCTTTTTTATTGCAGCATCCATTTTTAAAACTAGCCAAGCCTCTCTCCAGCCTGACTCCTCTGATCCTTGCCGCGAAAGAAGCGATTAAGAACAGCAGCCGCTAGTGAGGAGAGGGAGGGCCTTCACCCGCCCTGGCCCTGGCGCGTGTAGAGCCGGACCCCTCCAAGACTCTGTAGGACCTCCTTTTCTGTGCTGCAGCACAGACAGACAGACAGACAGACAGACAGACAAACCTAATTTGGATGTCCCCAGTGTAAGGGGCATAAGGCCCGGGGGCTGAGCCTTTTCCCCCCACTCCCTCCTATCATATACCTTTGCCAGCTGGAGCCAGCTCAGGGCTGCATGGGCCTTGTGAGCAGCGGGGCTACAGGGGGAAGCATCTCCTGGCTGTTTCTACCAGCTGCCCCACTAGCCAGGAGCAGCTCTCCACCGTGGGCTGGCTGCCCGTGCACTTCCTTATCGAATGCCTGGCTTCTTGCTTTTCCCAGTGTCTGGTCTGCTTTGGCATTAGAGAAGGAAGAAAGGGCCCCTTTGGCCCTCTGATGGCTCCTGCCCATCTGCCCACCTGGCTCCCGTTCCCACGTTCAGTTTGCCTGCAGTAGGATGGACAGAAAGTAATGGCAGAATGAGTGTGTTGTGAATGAGACCTCATGTGTGACCTCAGCTCTTGAACCCTGCTTCCCTCGCCCCTCCCCTCTGAGTTTGGGGCCTCCTGCCTTGGGCCAGCTTGCTTTGTCTCACTCGCAGTCTGCATTTGCCTTGGCAAAGTTAGCTTGGCACATTTATTTTACTTTTTAAAGGCAAAAGATAAGTAAGTGTGTTGAGGAAGGCCTGCTTTGGGGGTTGCACTTTCTCCCTGCTGCCCCCATGGCCTCCCATGTTCCCAGAGGCCTAGAGAAGGTTGCAGAGATTCACATGGCAAAACCTGTCACTGCTGGGCCCAGCCCTGAATTGGCAATCCCGGGGGCTGCCTGAAAGATCTCCATGCTACCTCTTGACTCCCTCCATATGTGGTGGCACTTAGGGACCTAGCCTCTCCCCGCCCCCCTGATGGGGCTGAATTGTTTTTATTCTGATAATAACTGTGCAAGGCAATGACTTGTGAATTTTTTTTTTAAATAATAAAAAGATCTGGTGAGGAGAGACCTGGTTAGCACTCACTTGCCTAGTGAGCTGGGGCAGGATCTTTGCTGCTGGCTTTGTGTCCCTTTAAGAACTGGACATGGATGTGGGTGCTGCCCCTCCTCCGGGTTCTCCCCAGACAGGTGTCAGGTTAGGGCATTTGTCATGTTCACCGTTTAGCAACTTTGAATTCTAAGAGCCTGCCCACATGCCTTAGTGGGAATCTCTCCTCTTCAGCAGAGCTCCCCAAACAATTTGACCTGAGAACCCCACTGAGGCATGAGTGGCACTCTTTCCTGGTCTCTTCCCAAAGACTCAGCTGCTGGCACCTTTTGGTTTCCTGGAAGGAAGGGATGGAGAGAGTGAAGGAAGGAGGAAGAATGGGAGAGAAAAGAAAGGACTTGCTTGTTTTTTGAGCTTACTGGCATCTTGAAAAGATTTGGATAGTTGGATTTCTGTGCCCTTGAAAAACCCATGGTTTCTGTTGAAGAAGGCTCAAGATTCGTAGCATGTCAGGCATTGTAATAAAATGTGTGTGAATTCAGGATAGGAAGTAAAAGGGTAAATGAGGGCTGCTTGGCCTGGGGACTCCTTCCTGTCATGATGAAGGCCTAGTCACCTAGCCATCTACCCATCCATTCACCCATCAATCCATCCTTCCACCTACCCATCTACCCATTCGTCTATCCCTCATCCATCTGTCCACCCTTCCATCCACTCACAGAATCACAGCCTCAAAGTAGACCTTAGTGGTCATTTAGCCCAACCCATACCCAAAAGAAATCCCCACTGTAAATACCTGACATGTAGTATATCTTCCATTAACAATCCAAGCAAGCATTTATTAAATGCCTACTGTGTGCAAGGCACTGTGCTAGGCAGTGGGGATACAAAGACAAAAAAAAATCCATCTCTCTATTTGTCCATCCAACCATGAATCTACTCACTCATCCATCCAGCTATCCACCCATTTGTTCACCTGTCACTCACCTACCTTGTCATCCATCCATCCATCCATCCAGAAGTCCATTCATCCATGATCCACCCAGACACCTACCCACTCATTCCCTTTCCAATTCTCTCTTCCAAAACTCTCATTTCTTTTCCAATTTTTCCTCATTCCATTTATAAAAATATATATTTTAAAGCCTCTGCAGGAATCCTAGTTTGTGCCCAAGCTGTGTTTTCCTCTGAGCCTTTACCTGTATACGTTTTGGAATCACTCTCCTCTTCTGCATTTATGTCTTGAGCATTCCTGCCACCATAATAGCTCATTATGGTGGGATTCTTTTTTTGTTTGCCCATTCTTCCAGCTTTCTTCCTGACTTGGACGTGCAGTACTTTTACCCATTCATCCACCTATCCAATCTCCCGTTCACTCATTTGTCTGTCCATCCTACCCATCCATTCATCTTTTCATTCATCTGTCACATCTATTCTCCATTCGTATGAACATTCACCCATCCCTCTACTAATCCATCCGATATCTTTCTACCCACCCATCTATCTTCCCATTGACCCATTCACTCATCTGTTCATTGATCTGCCCACCCATCCATCTTGTCATCTCTGACTGACCCTTCATCCAACATCCTTCTACCCACACACTCAGCCATCCCCTGAAACGAAAGCATGGTCTGTGGGGAGTTTAGGCTAAGCCCATAGTGGCAGATGTCCCATTGGGGAGGTGATTCTGGTTCCCTAATTTCCCATGTGGATATAAAATTTGAGGGACTTTGACCTCCTAGGAAACACACAAGGGAGAGAAGCAACAGATGAAGCCAGGAAAGTGTGTGGTCCTATCCTGTGTGTATACTAGGCCCTGGGGGATAGGGTGGCTGGGCCAGGGAGATTCCAGGCAGCTGCTTGAGCTAATGAGAGGCCTTAATTTTGATTTCAGTTGAAAATCTCTGTTTGTATTTCTCAGTGATAGATGTCAGTGATTTCCATAGATGTATAAGATGCTGTTGGGTTGCAGTGGAGAGATGGGTGTGCTATCCTTGGTGGGTAAGGGCGAACCTTGACCTGGGCTGACCAGAAAGAACAACTCATGTCCTTTGTGTGCCTTCAGGGCCTTTCCTTGGAGACTCGGAAGCAGTGATCCTTGAGGTCATTGCCTGGAGAGAAATGGCTGTTCTTCTAGGTTCTCCAAGGTCCTTTCTGACTACTGCTGGCCATAGAGGCCAATGGTAGTAACCCATGTCTCTAGGAATGCTGTCCCAGCAGACAAATGGATGTGGGTGCATATAGAGATATTCTGATACTCATCCGTTTTCTCTGACCCATCCTTCCATGACTTTGGACAGCTACTTATGTTTTTAAGAAGTATTACTGATAAGCTGTTTCTCTTGCCAAAATTCTGCTGAAGGACTAGCTCCTGACATGTTTAAACATCCCTTCCTCCATATGGCAAAGACCTTTTCCCCCTTTCCCCACCTATTTCTGTAGTTCCTTAACCCCCTGGCACATCTGCCTGGCTCTTTCCTGTGACTCAGCCTGGGGGCAGCAGCAGGAGGGTCGGAGAGGGCTGAGAAGCATTATAGAGATGACCTTGGTGTTTCCCTGTGAATGAGTGAGTTGGTGCTTCTGTGCTGTACTCCCAGGTCGGTGGGCCCTGCCCGGCTGTCCTTGTCAGTCCCTGTGTGTCTGTGCTCTTTCATTGGCCGCTGACTGGCCGGATACGAAGACTCGAGTCAAACACTTCTTCTTGGATCGTCTGATTCCGATTTCTTTCTGGTGAACTGATTCTACGTTCCCGTTTGGTCTTCGCACTCATCCTTCTCTGACAGGGATGAGCTTCTTGTTGCCGAGTTTCCGGAGAACTGGAGAGCATCATGTGCTGCAGAAGGTTCTCCTAATCTGATCAGCCTGTACCAAGCCAATTTCTTTGTCTGTCAGGCTCTTTATTCTGATTGAGTTGGGGAGGCAGAGAACATTAGAGATAGAGGGGATCATAGAGCTCATCTAGTTCACCCCCCACCATTTTACAAAGGAGGAAACTGAGGCCCAGAGAGGTTAATTATGTTGTGCAAGGATATTACAAGTTGGTGGCAGAGTCAGAGATTTGAACCCGGGCCTTCTGACCCCAAGTCCAGGGCTCTACCACACTGTGCTGCCTAGCAGGTGGCACTGAAGCTCTTGGTGGAGGTGTGGACAAGAGGTCCACAGTGCAGCTGGCCAGCATTATAACACTCTGTTCAGCAGGTGGCTTGGGCATGTGGGCTGCACCCTGAGCAGCACATGTGTTGCGCCTTCCAAGATCATTATTGGCCACTGAGAGAGAGGCCACTGGCGAGGCTGAGCAAACACAGGGTCATTGGCTATTCAGAAATCCTGGGCTTCGTCCTCTGGACTGGTGTGCTGTGTTCAGGACCCTGAGGATAGAAGGGAAAGGGCTTTGGTTTCTCAGAGAGACCATTGGGTCCGAGTGCCGAGCCTGTGACCTGAGAGGCTAAGGGATGGTGCTGAGGTCCCTGTCACCTCCGTGTCCCATTTCTTATTCATCTAGGTAGAAGTCTTCTCTTGATTCCAGATAGTCAAGTGGGGCTGATTTCCCCAGAAGTGAAGGCTGAGTGGGTAAACATTGGCAGATGGCAAATGCCACTGGCAGAGGGAGCTTGCTGGCACTCCATCATGTTTGGCTGGTGTTGCTTTGAGGTTCCCGCCACGTGCTGGCAGTGCTCCTGGCTTAGCACAGCAGGCGGAATTTCTAGAAAGACAATATGTGTGTGTGTGTGTGTGTGTGTGTGTGTGTGTGTGTGTGTGTGTGTATACTCCCTGCTCACTCACCACAATGATTTTAGGATTGGCAGTGGGATGGTTTGTCTCCCCACCACTGCCCCTCCAGGCCTTGTCATCCTGGGCAATTCATAGCTGTGACTTTCTGAAAAGCCCCCATAGGGCAATGTCCCAACGTTCTGGAGGCTCTTCCCATCCGCCAGGTGCCAAGCTGGTGTTTGGCTGACCATCTGGGAACCTTGACATTTGTGACGTGATCGGCCCATTTCTTTTTCTTGTCCTTTCTTGGTATCCTTGGTGGTTCTGCTGCTGCTCCTAGCCTGCTGCTCATGTGCAAGTCAACACTGGTGCCATTCCCCAACCTGCTTGCCTTCTCTGTGGCCACTGACCTCTGGCTCATCCCACTGTTTGCCTTCTTTTGAGGCCATGGGTCTCCATGATTGTTTGCTTCCCAGGCAGAACTTGGGGACTTGAAAGATGGCCTTTTGCAGCAGTGAGGAGTTTCTTTGGCAGAGCTTCACTAGGAACAAACACTCTCTCGAGTTCTCTGCACGCTCTTGAGGGGGCTCCAGTGATGTGGATGTGAGGGGCCCTCTCCCCTGCTGGTCTCCATCCCTCAAGGCTCAGCCAGTAAGGACCCAAGTACAGCAGTGGCTGCCAGATCCCCTTCATGGCCGGGCAGACAGGGGCAGGTGATGAGGCAAACCCTCTCTACTTGGGCCCAGGAGGCAGGGTTCAAGTTGTGAGGAGAGCCAGCAGGAGCTGCAGAGTGGGCTGAGATGAGCAGCAGAAACAGAGCGTCTGAGCTGGGGAAGCCGTGCTTGAGCAGGAATCCTAAGCGCAGGGATTGTCAGGGAGCTGACTTGACCTGTCTTCCAAGAGTAGTGTTGGCAATAGATAGTAAGGGAGAGAACTCATTTCCTTTGGCCATTTGAAGGTGTGCAGGAAGCCCTTGGAAGTCGGAGGTCGCTAAGTATGAGTGCTGCTATCCCTATTGTGTGGCATTCCCTGGCCCTTCCCTTGCCACCCTGGGCCAGGACAGTGAGGAGCAAAGTCTACCATTCCCACTTGTAAACTCAGCCAGGGCTTGTATAGTGGGAGCCTGGTAAGCTTCAGGCCCAACATCTATCTCCCAGCATGTACGGAGGGAATGAATGAGTCTGCTCACTCTCTAGCAAGTGAGGTGCCCCCGTCAGTGCTTTGGGAAGACTTTCCAAAAAAGAGGTTCGTTTATGGAAATGTCCCTTCTGTTGTAACTCCCTCTCCCATGCTGTCCTTGTGATCCTGTGATCCTCAGTTGGGCCAGCTTTGGTGGCGGGGAGTCTTGGCCATCTTCACTCTTCCATTGACAATATCCTCTGGCAGTCCATTCTAGTGGGTCTGCAGCCTGGGGATTGGGAATGATGCCTTTTCCATGCTCAGGCACTATCTGCTGCCTCGAAGTTCAGTCTCAAAGCTACACCTTGGGATATTGGATGACATATGATAATGCTGGGTCGGCTCCTTCAGCTCAAGATGCTCCAGGTGAACACCTGAGGCTCGAACATCAGCGCTCCAGGGTGTGGCCGACCACCTTCTACCTTGTGGCAGTGGACTGAATTCCAAGGCAAGGGCTTAGGAGCTCCATGCTTTCTGGTCTGGATGGTGAACCTTGCAAATCCAACCTCCAACTGAGAGAGGGCCAGTAGCCATCCCTGCCTGACATTCGACATTCTGTTTGCTAGTGAGCCGCAGGCCTGGTGAGGGTGGTAAAAACTCCTGGGGGAGGGTGGGGGGGCAAGGGGTGGAAGAAGGGGGGGGTGGGGGGAGGAGTTACGGTCCCGATAGGCTGGTTTGCTGATAGTTGGCCTACCCCCACTGAGGCCTGGTTAGCTGCTTATCAGTGGGTGAGGGGGGTATGTGGGGGGGAGGGGCTGGTTTGGAGTAGCAGGCTATGGGAAGCTTCTGCTCTCCTTCAGGAAGCAAGGCCATGCCCTGGGCTAGGGAGGCTTGTCCTGGTTCTACGCATGACCCCTCCCAGCCCAGGCTCTGCTCAGCTTTGGCTTCTAGGCTGCCATGACTTGGGAATGAGGGTGCTCAGTCTGTGGGGAATGGAGCAGGCTCAGCCGTGCAGGCCCAGAATCTCTGAGTACCTGCCTGCCCTGGGCTCAGTGGCCCCTGGGGGGAGGGGGAGGGAAGGGTGTGGGGAACAGAGGATCATGGGATGGCAGAGCTGGAAGGGACCTCAGAGAACATCTAGTCCAACTTCTTCAACCAAGGGCCCAGGGAGGGGAAGGGACCTGGCCAGGGTCACCCAGCAGGTACAAGGCCGAGCCCTTAAGTCCTCAGATTCCACCACCCCTTGACCATGGGCTCGGCAGATGGGCTTAGCCCCCAAATCCTGTAACTTGTTAGTGGCTTGAGGGTCAAATGTGATCCCAGCTGAGAGAGCCAGATCCCAGTTATCCTTGGGCTCCCACACGGAACTAGGTTAGCGGTCGCCCAGCCTTGGCCTGGGACTGGCATGCCTGGCCTACCCGGCTCAGGGGGCTCCTGGAGGGACCTGGGGTTGAAGGGTCCATTGGGCTGGCCTAGCTAGGGATCTCCTTTCATCCACAAATGTGAGTTGGCCGTGTCCTGTCCCATCCTGTCCTGTCCTGTCTTGTCCTGTCCCATGACCACCTGCTTTCCCTCTCCGAAGCCAAGAGGGCTGGGTGGGCGGGGCTGGGGAGCAGGGGGCGGATCCCAATGTGAACTTTGACATTGTGCTTGAAGCACTGGAGGATGACTATGGCTAGTGCATGACTGTATCTTGAGTGTAACCAATATTGCCGTTTGAAGCTTGGACCTCCAGTCCCGTGAATAAAAATGACCTGAACCGCAGACTGCTCGCTATGTGTTGTCTTCTCTGTTGCTCCTGGGCTGCCTCCTCCCCTTGCCCCTGCCTTGGCCTTGGCCTGCCCTGGCTCCCTCCAGTGAAGGTGATGCCGCCTGCCGGCCCAAGGGGTGCCCATGCCTGTGTGAAGTGCTTCCGTGTCAGTGGCGCTCCAGCTTCCCTTAGGACGTGCCATCAGTCTCTCCAGCACCCTGGCAGGTAACAGTAACAGGGACTTTGGGCAACTTGCTTCCCCCCTCTGAGGCTCAACTTCTCTATCTAGAAAATGGGGAAAATATTTGTAGTTCTGACTTTCTAATGAAATGATACAGGTGCTTTGCAAACTTTAAGGTGCCATCAAATCATCGATTATTATTGTTCCGAGACACTACTATCCTTCCAGGCTCCTGGGTTTGAGATCTCATAGTCTTCCTTGACTCTTCCATTCCCTCCCTCCAGGCCTTTGCACAGGCTGTCTGTCCCCCATGCCAGGAGTGCACTCCCTCTGGGAGGCCCTGGGTTAGGCTCAGCTCAGGTGGCCTGTAGCTGTCTGTGCCAATCTGTGTCTTCTGCCGATTGAGGCTTGAGGAGGTTGTCCCCTGGTCAGCTGAGTCCCCTCCCCACTTTGAAATTATGGGCTATAAGGGACAAGTAACTGACCTTAAGATGTAAGGGTGTGGCCCCTTTCGGCACTGGGCTGTAAAGCTGCCTTTTTCAAAACTGGAGTGTCCCCTCACCCCAGGCCCAGGGTCTTGGTCCATCCTCAATGGGTTTTGTGCCCTTTCATATGCAAATGACCCACTCAAACTCGTAAACACTAGACTGTGGGCCTGCAGGTGCCCTTTCCTCTACCCCAGGCAGGGGGAGGGGTGGGGGTAGGGGGACTGAGAATTGAAAAAGCTCTGCTGGTGCTCTAAGAGCAAGAACCGAGCTCTTGAAGGTCTTGTCAGTCCATTCTTCACCGAAGCAAGGCCTGGAGGGAGCAATTTCTCTCCCCACCCCCACTTCCCATTGGCAGAAGCACATGGCATTGCTCAGTGGGGCTGAGTCTGTCTGCAAGACAGGCCAGGAGTCTGAGAGTCTGGCCACTGGAACTCGGATTTACAGGCCCAAAGAGGCCTGAGGCTCCTACTGGTCCCAGGGAGTAGGCCCCAGTCCATTCTGAAAGTTGATAACAATACTGTAGATGAGGATGCCAGCTGGGCTCAAAGCTAGAGGTGGCCACAGAACAACCTTCATCAGAGTGACAGTAAGTGATGCAGGAGCCACAGTCATTTAGCATCACCCAGTGGAGCAGAGGCCAAAGTTGGTGGAGGCCATCAGTGGCCCTTCAGCTCTGCAGAGTCAGAAGTGAGTCGTGTCTTCTCACACAAGCCTTTGCCATGTGTTCCCTACCTGTGTGTCTCTACTTGTGAGTGCTGTGTGTCCACTCTTCTCACTGATGCTATGTGTATTTGTGGGAAAGCACACTGAAGGTTTATGGGGGAGATGTTTGATTGCCCCTGTTTGTGCATTCCAGTAAATGCCTTGGCTTTGAGCTAGTTGTGACTTCTGGCTGACTACAGATAAGGTCAATGCACCAATGGGGGCTCATGAGCTATGTGCAGCCCCACAGAGAGCCTTGAAGTCTGGAGGACCCTATGGGTGAGTGTGAGATGGTGGGAGATAGGAGGTGGACAGGGATCCCAGAAAGGCACTAAATTATTCCCGTGTTGCATCACCCTCCCCTCCCCTCCTTCAGGGCAGGGATTGGTTCACTTTTGCCCTTGGAGCTTTAGTACCCTAAAGAAAGGACTCAATGAATGTTTGTTGAATTGAATTTCTTCTATAGAATCCTTGATGGGATGGCATAGCCCCCTGCCCCCTTTTTATTTTTATGTTATTGAAATTGTCTGTTTATGATAATTAGCACATATTTCTCTAGGGCTTTAAAGCACATCACATATCTCATCTGAATCCTCATGACAACCTTATAGGGCAGGTGCTAGTATTATCACTTTACAGATGAGGAAACTAAGGCAAATCAATTAATTGATGGGGGGTGGGGCTCAGGAGGAAGTGTCTGAGGCCATAGGAACCCAGATGTTCAGATTCCAGGTTCCCGCTCCATCCACAGTGCCTCGAGCCCTCTCCCAAACCCGGACAGCTTGTCTCTGGGGTTACTTGAGTCCCCCAGGATGGGCTTAGAGGGCAGGCTGAGGGAACTGTGGTCAGCTGAGGGCTGACATTGGCTGGCCATTGAGATCAGCCCCAGGTGTTGGAGTCTTCTTCGTTGATGGCCTGAGGGACAGGGGAGCCGGCCAGGGCCAAGAGTAGGAAGGAGGAGAAGGCCACAATATGGAGGGTTGTGGGGCTGGAGAGGGCTGCTTTAGTTCATCGGAGGCCAGCACAGCTAGGCCCTGAAAGCCCAGCAAGAGTAAGAAGCAAGAACTCTCTTGCCCACTGTATGCCAGGCTCCTGCGGCCTTCTCCGAGGTGTGGGGAGGGGGAAGTCGAGGCTGGGTCGTGCATCCAGTGGGAGTCTGCCCACAGCCCCAGGGTGCAGAGCTTATGGCAATGGGGGAAGGGCAGCAGCCAGAGACTTGGAGCCTGCTTGCTGCCCTTCCCCCACCACAGGGCTCTCAGCACGTGACAACATTGCCATCTTCAGGCCAAATCTGGCAGTTACATCCCTACCCATCCATTAAAAAATGAAACATTCTTTTTAAAAGTTGTTTAAAAAATCAAAGGGAGCAGCATGGAATGGTTGAGCTGGAAGGGTCCTTGGGGACCCCTTGGTCCAAGTCCATCATTTCCCAGCGGAATAGACTAGGCTTCTCAGTCCTTCAGCCAGCTTGGTTCCAGGAGAGTCTTAGTTCTGGCTCCAGGGGAGGCTAAGGCCCCACTTGGGTTTGGGATCTTTTTTTGCAGAGGCATCCTCAAAGGCCCAGGCCTCACTGGACTCCTGGCTGTGAAGGAGGCGCCTGTCTGTACACAATCACTGAGACAGGCTTTTTGCAGTGTGGGGCTCTCTGCCTTTCCAATCAGCCTGTCCCACTGTTTAACACTCAAACTGTTAGGAAGCTGCTTGGTTTTGGGCTGAAATCAATCTCTCTTCAGATTCACTTGCTGGCTGCTAGTCCAGAGCAAGCCTAGGCCTTGCTCAGTGGGCTGTGCCGACTCTGAATGTCCTCGCTCAGCCGGAATGGGCCTGTATCCCAAGTAGGCATTGTGGAAGGCCACTGTGGACTCAGCCTCTTGGCCATGCCTGCTGGGAATAGTTTGTCCCTTTGACCAATGACCAAGGCAGGGAGGGCTGTTTGGGAGGCGGTGGAAGGGACACTGAGTACGGACCCTTCCTTACTTCCTATATGCCACTGAGCAAGGGCCTGGTCTTCTCTGGTTACCTCATCTGTCAAGTGAAGGGCTTAGATTGAATCCTGTCTGCCTCTCCGTTCAATGCATTGTCCTGCTTCCTAGACCACTCTCCAAGCCTTTCTGTGACCCCCATCTAAAGGTCCTGCATCCGAAGGAGGGAACAGGAATGGGCATGGCTCAGTTCTGTGCAGCTGGTAGGGTCACAAATCTGCAGAAGCTCAGTGGATTGCTCAGAGGTGGGGAATGACCATATTTGGTGGTGCTCAGTTCTTGGGATCACATTTGGAGGAGGAAATTCATAAGCTGGTCAGCAACCAGGATGGAGAAGGGTCTGGAGTCCATGTTGAAGTAACTGGGGGTGTTTAGCCTGGAGAAACTTGGGGGCATGGGGGAGTGGGAGGGAGGGGCAGACATGATAATTCTCTCCAAGTGTTTGAAGGGTGCATTCTGCAGAAAGGTTCATTTTGGCTGGCTTTGAGGCTCAAATTCCTATCACTTAGATGCATTCCTTAAATGCTTACTTTGTGCCACCCCCTTCTACCCCTAGGCTCAGGGACTAGCTTCTCCTTTCCCCTCTGGCCCCTTCCCAGAGGCACAAAACCAAATAAAGGCCAGATTCTTCCACAGAGAAGTGGCTTAATAAATGCTCATTGAAAGAGGAGAATGAAGGAGTTGATAGGTTTTTATTGAAAGCAGGGCAGGATAGTACAGGGAAGCATTGCCTGGGATTGAGGAGAAAGAGGTGAGTCTGGATGGAAGGACGATGAGGGACAGGCCAGCAGGGGCCCCCTCTGGCTCCAAAGCCTCAGAGCCCAGGATCCATGATGTGTGGGGGACCCTGAATAATGCAGGACTAGATACCAGACCCTGACTACCAGTGACTGGGTCCCACTGTCCCTCCTCCCCTCCCACAACCCAGGGCCTACAAGATAAAGAGAGATTAAAGCGATTTTACAAATACAGGGCCATCCCCACCCTCCCACCCCCAGGTGACCCAAGTGGCCATGGCAGCATGGTGGCTTTGGGCCTGCCTAGTGCCAGCTCTCCATTGGCTGAGCCACTGTAAGGTGATGCCCACCTCATACAGTGCCCTAGCAAGTTCTGGGCATCACTGCTTGTCCTCGAGTTTTCTCACTCAAGGGATGCTGGGTCAAAGGGTTCTCCACCGTACAGAGGTGGCAAACTGAGGTCCTGAGTGGGGAAGGAGTTGGGCCACGTTCCCATGGTTGGATGTGAGGGAGCCAGAGGTTCCCCAGAGGGCCTCTGACTCTGGGCCTAGTGTTTTCCTCCCAAGAAATGACTTGCTTGATGTCACATAGCAAATAAGTAGCTGTAGCTGGCCTCCAGACTCCCAACTCCAGGCTCTTTCCTGCTTGCCAAAGCTGCCTCCCGAAGGTCCCCTGAAGGGTTCCCACCTCAGTGAGGCCCAGCTGAGCTCTGCTCCTAGGTGGCAGCTGGCCCAGAGGCCAGAGGACCTGAGTGGGAGCCAGCAAGACCTGGCCTCTGATTCTGCCTCTGACCCTGGGCAAATCACTTCACCTTTCTCGGCCTCAGCTACCTCGTCTGTAACATGGTGCTGATGAGGACTACCATGACGTGGGGGTGGTGAGAAGCCCTGTCACTGCGCATTGGAAGCCCTATATAAATGTCAGTTATTACTATCATTTCCCATCCCCCTCCTTCCTATGTGCCCCCCAAAGCCTTGGAGGAGCTCCTGCTATCTCTGGCCCACTGTGCCTTGGCACAGGGGCCCCCATTTTCTGGGCCTCCTTTCTTTCCTTTCGTGAATGGTCATGATAGTACTTTCTGGTTCTCTACCTTGCAGGGCGGTTTCGAAGCAAGCTTTGTTAGTGCCAGAAGGATGGGAGCTAGGTTAGTGTGGGTTTCATCCCCCAACACTATGGGGAGCCCTGAGGCCTGCCCTGCCCTGGCTACTGCCTTAATCACCAGGACAAGGCCAGGTGGGCCTGGCCCACGGAGTGAGGAAATTGTAGCTGATCAGCGAGCTTAGCTCAGGGGGCTTCCACCTGCTCAGCAGAACAGGGCCTGGAGTCTTCCCCCCTTCCCCTCCCCTTCCCCCTCCCCCCATCTCTCCTCCCCCTGGCCCTCAACAAAGAAAGCAGAGGACTCTGCCAGGGACGGTGCCAGAGGGAGGCTGGAGCCAGGCTTTCAGAGCTCCATGATGTTGTCAGTGGATACCACCTTGAGGCTGAGGTGCCCGGTCACAGGTGGGGCATCTGGAGCACCCTTATCCCGAAGCTGGAGGGTCCTCAGCTCCCGAGAGTCACTTGGCTCACCTACCAGGGTCACTTGTCCCAGGAACTGGTCACACAGGAGCTTTTTGTTCCAGACCTGAATTTGTGAGGATGGAGGTGTGTGAGGCTGTCATGGGACGCTTGGGGTACGCCATAATGGGATGCCTTGTCTGCAGCCCCCGCCCTCTGGCCGCCCCTCTTGCCCCTTCTCACCTGTACCACAATGGGCTCCTTGAGATTCCTGCGGTAGAATATAGCCTGGGTGGCAAAACCAGCATCGAAGGTCTCCCTCTGGACAGGGGATCGGATGCTTTCCCTCCCACACTTGATGACGAGGTAAGGGTTGGCACCTGAAACAAAGTGCATGTGACTTGTCTGCCTCAAGGGTCTGGCATCGCTGGGGGGGGTCTGGATTTGAGTTTGAGTTAGCATTTGGGTTTTGACATTAACTTGTTGTGTGACTTTGACCAAGGCCCTTTTCCTCTCTGGGCCTCAGCTTCCTCCTCAGAGTGTCAGACAAGGATGTTTCTAAGGCCCTTTTGGCTCTCACACTGTGACACTGGAAGATTCCCCCACCTCTCATAGACCCACATTGGGCACTCCATAGACCCTAAGCCTTCCCATTCTTGGGCACCAGCCAAAACAAAGCTGACCCAGCCACTGGCAGCAGGCTGGCCAGAGGGAGCTGCTTTGGCAGGGAATGAGCTGCCGGCCCTGGGTAGCACGTGGGCCACTGCCGCCGGTGACCATTGTGCACAGCCCCCAGGGAGCTGAGGCCAGCAGCAGCTCCAGCCGCAATTCTTGGCAGCTGCTCCAGAGGGCTTGAGGCAAGCCCTGGGCAGAGAGCCCAGCCCCCTGGAAGCGGGGCCTGCCCTTAGCTGGATCTCAGCCAGAGGCAGGGCACTGCCGGTCAGCCACCTAGCCACCCACCTACCCCATGGCTTCTGATGCCAACTGCTTCCTACCCTCCCCAGTCTGGCCCTCAGTTCTGAGACTGCTAGAGCTGGAAGACACTGTGGAGACAGCCCCCTCATTTTACAGAGGAAGGAACCAAGGCTCTGACTTACCCAAGTTCCCACAGCTCATGAGTAGAAGGCAGATGAACTATACTGAAGATGGGTTCTAATCCTGCCTCTGATACTTACTAGCTGTGAGACCATGCTCAAGTCATTTAGCCTCTTTGACCCCCAGTTTTCTCATCCAGGAAATGGGTACAATCTTGTAGCACCTATATCACTGGGCTTTTGTGAGACTCAAATGAGATCAGCGATGTCTGGAAAGTATCTTGCAAGCAAATGTCAACTGCCACCTTCATTAAGCCTCGCTCCTCTGGACTCTTCCCTCCCTCCTTCCTGCTGCTGAGGCCTGGCCCACCCTGCCCCAATTCCAAGCCAGCTGAGCCGTCTGGCCTCATACTTCTGGAGCCGTTCTGTCTGTCTAGTCCCTCCACGCTGTGAACGCTCAGCTGGGTGACTCGCTGGGGATAGCCGCACAGGAAGCTCCCACAGCCGGGCTCGGGCTTGTCCAGCGTCAGTTCCCTGCAAGGGAATGAGAAGCTAGCTTAAAATGCCACCACTCACTGGCTGGTCGGCTTTGGCAAGGGTCAAGTTCTTAGAGCAACATCTCCGAGGGACTTCTGAACTCATCTAATCCTGCCCTGTTGCCGAAGAGGAACCTGAGGCCTGTGAAGGTCGGAAAAGAGTCGGGCCGCAAAGCTGGGCCCCCTGGCTCTAAGCCCCATGCTCTCTTCTCTCCTGTAGCTCCCACATCGAGCCTCTGGAAAATGATGGGTAGGTTGTAGAAAGAGCACTGACTTGGAACCTAGCTTTGCCCACCTACTTACTACCTTGGGGCAAGTTGCTTCAGTGCTACGGGCCTTGACTTCTCCCTCTGGAGAACAAGGGGGTTGGACTCGAGGGCCTGAGTTTCTAGCTTTCAAATCTTGGGCCCCTCTGGAAGAGGACCTGAGCTCCGAGGGAACATCGGTGAAGAGCCTTAGGATGAATTCGCTGATGTCGCCAGGCTGGAACAGGGTGGGGATGATGACATAGCGGCCCTTCTTCAGGGTGGTTCGCAGAAACACCGTGCGGGAGTCCATGTAGGTGGAGCCCACCACCCTCTCCTGGACCTGCAGCTGATGGAGGCGGTATTCCCGATTCAGCTCCACCTGGTGTGAGGCGCAGAGAGCATTAGGCTCAGCCCAGGGCCCAGCAGAGCTGGGAGAGAAGCCGCAGCAGACCTAGGGGCTCTCTCTTCCCCTGCCCTTACCCGGAAGATCTCAAAGCCAATGATGTAGTTTTCTCCCCTGCCATCCTTGCGATAAGGGCGCTGATCACGCTGCTGCAGGGAAATAAGGGCTTTGTCCTCTTCCTTATTGATGTTGAAGACATACTAAGGGGAGATGAATAAGAGGCACCTTAGTCAGTGGTTTCCAAGCCAAGTCCAAAGGGGCCCAGTGTGGGATGGGGGTCTGGGACTGAAAGCCGGGGCAGCTAGGTGCTCCTCAGCTGCCTTACTGTGTGTCCCCAGGCTAAGGGTTTTCTCTCCGGGGGCCACTCTCCCCACTGGTGCTGCTCATCCCACAGGGATTGTTGGGAGCAAAGTGGGCCTCAGAGGAATGTCAGTTGTGATGATCATCTCTTTCCCCTCCCCAGGCTTCCATTTCCTCCTCTGTCATAGGCAGCATTTGGACAACATGGCCTCGAAAGTCCCTCCCTGACATTCTGTGGTTTGGATTCTGGGCCAGGCCAGCTCTCAACACGTGTGAACTCACTGTTGAAACTATTCTGTCTGGAATCCTCATCCTAGATCTGCAGGCCAACTGCACCTGGGACACTCTGAGGGAAGAGTGTTATCACACTCCCTCTCGCTGCCATAGCCCCCATGAGCAGCAGGCTGCCAGGCCCAGAAGAACAGGCAGAGATCACAGGACTCCAAGGAAATCAGTTACCTCATCAGACTAGGGTGGCACTTCGGACTTAGTCTCTGAGAGCTGTAGTGGCTGAAAAATGTGTCTCCCTTAGGGTACTCTAATGATGAGCCTGTCAAAACTGAGTCAGGTTGGTTCTTGGCCAGTGGGCATACAGTCCATCATTTGGCCTACACTCCAGGCTTTTCCAGCTCACAAGGAGTTGCTAGAGCCTGGGGTGCCCTTATGCCTTGGCAAGGTATTGGGGGAGGGAGTCAGTCAGTATCCGCAGGACCGGGAAGGGGTGGCCAGGCATGAACTTGGGAAATGGAATCAGTCAAAACCTGATTTCTCTTAGGAAAAGCCTAGCATGCTGCTCCTGGAGAGCGTGGTGGCCCAGCTGTGGTCCAGTGGGTAAATCCCATGGATAGGCAAAGATGGCAAAGACAGCCACAGTCCTTATACCTCCCAGAGCCCAGGAGACAGTGCTTCCAGTGGGCAGTTGTGGCACTGAAGGGATAGATGGGAAGGACCAAAGATGAACAGCTATGCCCATGGCCCCTCCTCTCCAGTTGTTGCTGGTGACATTTTATGGGGATAGGGGGAAACTGAGGCCCAGAGACAGGAAGATTTCTGAGAACAAAGAATGTCAGAGCTGGAAATTCCTTTGGAGAGCATTCAGCCCAAACCATTCTTTTTACCAAGGGGAACATTGAGGTTCAGCGGAGGGACAGGACCTCTGCCAAGCTCCACAGCCAACTTGAAATGCAATCACTTGGTTTCTCCCCAGAATAATGGTGAAGATGGCTCTTGGATAGGTGACAAGCAGACAGGCCTGCTGGTTATTAGTAGGTTAAAGGGTAAACAATGCCAAGGCAGGAGCAAATTTTAGACCTCATTGGGGGAAGGAGGGGAGAAAAGGGTCGAGACCAAGACAAACAGAGGAGCCAGAGCCGTGGGCCACAGTCTCTTGGGCTAGTTTCAAAAACGTGGGAAAAGATCGGGGGCAGTTTGTAAACAAACCAAGCAGGAGGTTGGGGGAAGGGGGGGGTGTCTGGCCTGGATCATTCTTCCAGGACATTCTGTTTTGTGTCCTGTCTCCTGCCCTTCCACCCATCCACCCTGCCTGTCGGGAAACTAGCTGTCTACTCCTCTGTCCCTGGGACCTACAAGGACAGGCATGCACGCGTACCCCCCACCCCCTTACCCCCGCCTCTGCCCCACGCATACACACACTCACAAGCACATGCACACACAGCCTGAGACATACACACAGCTGCATATATACCTTGATAAACACATTAACAAAGATGCAGTCACAGGGTTTCAGAGTTGAAAAGACACCCAAGAATCCCTTCTCTCCCATCCCCACCAAGGGGTCCTCCCCTGTGCTTAAGGCCCTCCCAGGATGGGGAATATCTCCCACTTAGGGCCAGCTTTCCCTATTAGGAAGTTCCTCCTGGTGTCTGGCCCAGAGCCACCTGCTGGGGCCTAACAGAGAAAGTCTCACTCCTCTGAATGTCAAGCCTTTGGATCTCTTCTTCAGGCTGTGATGACCCCAGGGCCTGGGCCCACCCATGAGCTCTGGAGGGAGCTGACTCACTTTCCAAGGCCCCCTGGCTGGCCCATGCCACCTGGCCTCTATCTTCACAGGTCATCTTCTCTTCTCCCTGTAGTATGTGTGGGGAGGGAAGGAGAGGGCAGGCAGAGGGGCCTTCATGGACAGGCTGTACTCCAAGGGGTCCGAAGGGCTGATCCCGTCTTGGACAGGACCTTCTTGGCCAGCTTTCCACAGTTTGGCCGTGTCTATCCCTGCTAGATATATGTGTACAGCTGCTGAGGACACAGACCGTTTGGAGTAGGGGAGGGTCCATTTATGTCACCTGAGCCTGGGTCTCAGTTTCCTTCTTTGTAAAATGAAGGGTTTGGGTTTCTAGTTTGGAGCAGGCTACTCCTGCAGTGCCTCCATTTTAAAGAGGGGGAAGCTTCCCTGGGCCAAGCTCGGCCTGGCTACCTTCAGAGACCGTCATGACTGCAGGCCATTCGACTGTTGTTAATTGGCTTTCCTTCCCTCCCCCTATGGCTGCGCCTGGTTCTCTCCCCTGGGTCCAATTCCTCTTCCATGGGCTAGCCCTTCAAAAACTTGACTAGAGCTAATCTTAAATGATCCCTTCTATGGCCTGTCTCTGGTCCCCTTCCCATCCTGGTCACACTCCTCTGAATCTGCTCCCTTCATGGGGAGTCTGACCAAGGCAGAGGATAGTGGGCCTGCCACTTCCCCCTTCTGGACATCCTGCCTCTTAGAATGTAGCTTCAGATCACATTTGTTTTTTGGCTGTTGTGGTCAGACTATTGGCTCATATTGAAGTGGTGGTCCACTGGGACCCCCTAGATCTTTTCCCACAGTAATATGAATATCTTATAGGCAAAGTGGCACCCCACTTAAGAAGCTTTACTCCATCAGGTCACTGGAATATAGAAAGCCAGCCTGCATTTGCCACTGGAGTTTCAGGCATGAAAGTGTCCAGGTCTGCAAGTGGCTGGCCCAGCCTTAGAAGTGTGACTTGCAAGGCCGTGGGATACAACTGGCCATTTTCTCTCAGACTCCTCCTTGGTCAGTGTGTAGGCCCTTGCCAGGCGACCACCCCAGGCTGCCTGAAGCAGGCCTGAGAACAGAGAACATAGGGGGGAAGGCCACTGTGGGCCACGCAGGAGAGGAATGGTGTGCCCAGGATGCCTGCGGGGATGGCTACAGGCCTGAGAAGGGACCATGGTGGTAGAGGGGGGTGGAGGGAAGGCAAGGGACTCCAACCTGGGGGTTCTGCAGGAATGTAGTGCGGTTGTTGAAGCAGCCTCCAGCCCGATTGATCAGAGGGTCCTCATCATGAAGCCAAGCTCCGTGCACTGTGGCCTTCTCCCAGGTCTTGTGGATGGTGAAGATGGAGGTGTTCAGATTACGGCAGATGTCCACATCGGTGAAATTGTTACACCAGTCATCAAAGGCCATCCTAAGGGGGAGAGCCACGGGAAAGCACTGAAGATCCTTGATGTCTCTGAGGCTGTAGGCTCAGCGGAGCAGAAAATCAGAATCTCAGAGGATTCAAGACTGGGAGGGACCTTAGAGATGGCCTAGTCCAGGGGTGCAGAACCTGTGGCCTCCAGGCCATATGTGGCCCTCTAGGTCCTCAAGTGCAGCCCTTCAGAACTGTGGCCTTGAGGCCACATGTGGCCCTCTAGGCCCTTTGACTGAACCCAAACTTCACAGAACAAATCACCATAATAAAAGGTTCCCCACCCCTGCTCTAGTCCAATCATCTCTCTTTTTTTTCCCTAAAAAAACCAATGTTATTGTTGCCTTTTATTTTGTTACAACACAATTGTTTCTGGATATACACCTTCACATTGCTACTCACTTCTGAGAACGTATGCTGCATTCTACACCCATAGCCCACCACCTCCCTACAAAAAGAAGTAAGGTGCATTTCCTTATTTATTCTCTAGAGCCAAGATGGATTATTAGAAGTACCCAACATGGATAGCTCATTTCACAGAGAAAGAAACTGAGGCCTGGAGATGGGAAGGGACTTGCCTTACGTTACACAGGGAGTCAGTGAGAGAGTCAGGATTCCAACCCAGGCCTTATGACTTCCAGTCTAATACTCCTTCCTCTTTGCTGAGCTGTGGGAAGTGGCCCGTCCTTCAGTTCCTGAGCTCTAAGGCTGTAGTAGGAGGTAGGAGGACGAGCCCTAGGGGCAAACCCTGGCTCTGACACACACTTGCTATGTGACCTTTGGCCCAGTCCCTGTAATGGGATGGGGTTGGACCACAGGCACTCGATCCCTGAGATGAGTCCAGAAGAACAATCTTTGTTCACTTCCCCCCTACGGAGGCCTCTGTTTAGTGGCTCTGGGGTCTGGGATGAGGATCAGGGGCCTGGGCTGTTCCTCCAACCTCAGATCCACTCTGGCCTAGAACTGGCATCACCAGCCTCACTCTCCTGGCCTCCAGCCTTGCCCCGGTCTTCCCTGGTCTCACCCATCCATCCTTCATGCAGAAGGTCTGGGGCTGAGAAGGTGACCCCCCCCCCGCCTTGGGATCAAAGAGAAATTCCTCTCTAAGGCTCACCACAAGCTGACTCCCTCCAGCCTCCCTCTCACCTTTCCAGCCTCATTTCACAATACTTTTCTCCCTGTCTTCTAGTCTAGCCACACAGCACTGCCACTGATTCCTGATCTGTCTGTTCCCCCTCTTCTGGCCCCCACCCCTTGAATACCCTCCCTCCTCTACCTGCTGAGAGCCTGCACACAGCTCATCCTGAGCCCTCCCAGCATGAAGGGACCCCTCCTTCTTCAACTCATCCAGAACGTTTTCTTTAAGTGGCACAGAGTGTAATGGGCAGAGGGTCCTGGACTCAGAGTCAGGAAGCCCTGGACCTGAGTCCTATCTCAGATACCCACTAGCCATGTGACCATCAGCAAATCACTGTGTCTGGCAAGACCAAGTGAGGGAATGTCTCTAAGGCACTTTACCAACTTGAAAGCCCAATATAAATGTAGGCTATTTAAAATAAAAACTGTACATATATAAATGTAGGCTAGGAAAAAAATAAAATACCATTTAAAATAGAAACTATACATATCTAAACATAGGATAATGGCTAGAGGTGGGGCCTGGAGTCAGGAAGTGCTGAGTTCAAATCGTTCCTCAGACACTCCCTAGCCATGTGACCCTAGGCAAGTCATTCACCCTCTTTGCCTTGGTTTCTTCATCTCTAAAGTAGTGATAAAAATAGCACCTACCTCAGTCAGTCAGCCATTCAATGAGAATTTATTAAGCACCTACTATGTGTCAGGCACTGTGTTAAGCACTGAGGAGACTAGGAAAGGCAAAACCAGTTTCTATTTCTAGGAGTTCACAGCCCAATAGGGAAAACACCATACAAACAACTGGACATATACAAGATAGAGAAAAATCCAGTTGAAAGGTCATCTCAGAGGGCAAGGCCCTAGCAGTGAGGAGACTGGGAAAGGCTTCCTATAGAAGGTGGGATTTGAGCTGATACTTGAAGGAAGCTAAGGAAAATAATGGGCAGAGGTGAGGAGGGACAGCCTTTCAGGCCTGGGACACAGCCAGTGCAAAGGTGTGGAGACTGGAAATGGAGGGCAAGGAACATATAGATGTAGCTGGATTGAAGAGTATGTGTCAGAGAGGGAGGTTTAAAAAGACTAGAAAGGTAGGAGGGGGTCAGGTTATGAAGGGCATTTTGTATTTGTCCTGGCAACAATAGGGAGCCACTGGAGTTTACTGAGTAGGAGAGTGACCTGATTAGACCTGTGCTTTAGGAAAAATCACTTTGATGGCTGAATGAAGGATAGACTGGAGCAGGGGGAGACTTGAGGCAGGTAGACCCACCAAACAGAAGTTAAATGACTTGCCCAGGGTAACATGGCTAGTAAGTGTCTGAGGTCACATTTGAACTCAGGTCTTCCTGATGCCAGGCCCAGAGCTCTACCCACTGAGCCATCTTGCTGCCTCACCAGAACTCTCCGTCATCTGTCACATTGAGTCCCATGTTCTTCCTCTCCACCTCGCTCACTCGTTGCCACTCCTCAGAGCTAAAGGACAGAGAAGGGAGGATTTAGTCCACCATCAGCCTAGGGCAGAGAGGATGGACCTTCCCTTGGACCTCAGCCCCAGGAAGGCCTGCTACATTTCTCACCAACTTAGGACCTAGAACATCAGAGCCAGAAGGGGCCTGAGGGCACAGAACATAGGACACTGGACCTGGAACGTCAGTTTTCAGAGCTGGAGGGAATCCCTGTGATTGTCTTGTGCTTTTGACAAATGACAGACCTGCTCTGGGTCCCCACTGAGCCCAAGGCACTGCCCCTGGACCTCTTGGGCATGTCATGGGTAAGCTTGAGAGGCTGAGAAAGCAGGGAGCAGAGTACAGTAGAAAGAGCACTGCAGTCAAGAGACATGCCACCACGATGGGCAAGTCATCTCACTTCTCTGGGCCTCAGTTTACTCTGTTTGGAAACAGGTCCTACGATACCAGCACTGCCTACATCCTACGCGTATTGTGATGTGGAGAATGGTGGAGAAATGAGTGCAATTGTGATTCTTTGCTGCCTCATCGAGGCCAAGTGAGGGCCCAGGGCAGAGGGCCCAGGGTGGAGGGCCCAGGGTGGAGGGCCCAGGGCAGAGGGCTCACCTGTCACTCCAGGGCCCAGGGCAGAGGGCCCAGGGTGGAGGGCCCAGGAGAGGGCCCAGGGCAGAGGGCTCACCTGTCACTCCAGGGCCCATTCCACTCCCGCTTTCCCCATGGGTTCCTCATCCGGATCATGAATAGCTTTTCGGCCTTGAAGAAAGCCAGGAGTCGTCCTCCAAGGCACAGCTTGCGGATGTCAGTTACTGAGTAGGCATGGCCCCTCACTAGACCCTGCTCAGTGGTTCCTTGTCGCTCATTGGCCATGTCAGGCTACAATCCAGAGAACCCAGAAGGGCACAGAGAGTGTTAGGCCTCACCCTGACACTCCTCCCTCCAACCCTCCAATTCATCTCCCCTGTACCTCCAACACGCACACACACACACACACACACACACACACACACACACACACACACACTCACATGCCTCCTGCTCTGATCTCTATTCTCTATCCAGGGGATCTCCTGGGTCAGGATGGGAGAGCAGAAGCCTCTCATCTGACCAAAGCCTGGAGGAATCTATTATAAAGATCTTAGAGGGAACCTGGAGTGTGGAGGGCTCAGCACAGCTAGGCTCACTCTAAGGAAAACCTTCGCAAAGGGCTATGCAGAGGAGCTGATGGGCCCAGAATGCTTTTCTGGGATGGCTTAGACTGGCCGGCTGACATTGGAGCCAGTCTCATTCTGGGGCTCTCAGTCTAGGCACGGCTCCTCTCTGGGCTGCATCCAGAAGCCTGGCATGAGCAAGCAGCACGCTTTCAGGTCAGCCTTGTGCCACTGGTTACCTTGTGCCAAGGAAGGAGGTGGCAGCCAGACTTATCTCAGTGGATCTAGGGGTGAGCCTGAGGCAGTGCTCCCTGGATCACCTGTAGCCTGCCCTTAATGCTCAAAGCTGGCTCCCCCAGGACCTGGCCATGTCAGCCCCATCCCTCAGCCTGGCATTCCTGGGGGGCCCCATTGAGCGGCTGGCTACCTCTTCCCTGATGGCCTCCACACGGGGCCCCATCGTGTTCCTTGGCTTTCTTTCATTGACTCAGGGGCTGTGCAGTGTGTCCTCCTGGGCCCGCCCCCAGCTCTCCTTCCCCCTGCCCCACCTCATTCACACAGTCACTTCATTCATTCACACACTCACGCATTCATTTCATGCATGCATGAATTCATTCAAGAAGGCCTGTCAACGCTTGTGAAAGTGTACCAGGATGGAGCAGCTGATGAGGCCTCCTCTGTTGTGGGCCTTGAGCAGATCCTCAAAGAGTTTGGTCTGCTCCAGGAGGAACTTGCCATAATTGCCCTTCCTCAGGTCGATGGATTCAGACACGGCCCCCGTGAAGTCTGTGATGGCATCTGCGGTATTCCCGCCATCCAGAGCCTCGTAACAGCCAACTAGCCTGGGAGCAGAAGTCGGAGGTAGAGGGCAGACACCAGGACAGGAAAGGAGGCAGTCGGTGCTGGGCCCCTCCCTGCACAGGGAGGCCTTGGTAATTCTGCTCCCTGCCTGGGACTCCCTTCCTAGAAGGATTTGTGATCTAGAATGGGAAGGCCCAGAACTCTAGAGAGTGTCAGCAAAACGTGGAATTCCCTAATGAGCCAGGACATGTGAATTGGAGGCCAAGAAGGCCAGACCCCACGTCCTTAGAGTATAGCTCCTAAGGCTGGGGCGTCCATGCCCTCATGGCAGGGGAACGAAGAGGTGCTGGGCCCCTTCACATCTAGCCCAGGTGCTCAGGGTTCACTCCTGTCAAAGCAATGCTGCTAATCCCTGCCCACCCTTTGCCTTATTCTTTGTATGTGGAGGGGATGGAACCCCATGGTGCCTGAGGTGATGATCTATGGCATGGAACCCCTTGCCCTGACTGAGCCTCAGCTGTCCCTTGCAAGCAGTGAAGGGATTGGGGACCTGGCAACAATGAAGGCCAGGGTGAAGGGAGGCCCCATTCAGCCTCTGCTCTCCCCCAGCCCAGCCTCCCCCAAGGGCTTACTTTGCATAGGCCTTCTCCAGCAGGGCACTCCAGAATTCGTTGGGCACATTGGAGTGGCAGAAAATCAGCTCCCCATTGATGGTGGGCAGGCGGTCGTCTATCACCACGTCCGTCCAGTCACCGAAGTGCCAGAAGCGGAAGTGGAAGATCCCGGCGTATCTCTCAGGCCTTTGGGAGTCCCAGTCTTGCTCCTTTGCCTTGGGAATCACCTGGGCACAAAGGATTGGCAACAGCAGCAGCCATGCCAAGGTACCCGGGAGGAGACCACTGACCAGAGTGCCAAGAAATGAGTCTGCCAAGCAGAGGCAGAGAAGGGGTGTACCCTATGTGATAGAGCCAGGCCCAGGGCTACAAGGGGCCACTTGCATCTAGGCTACTCAGCAGCTCATCCCCTCACTCGCTCACGCATTCATTCGTTCACTTACTCACTCGTTTCTCCACTCCTTCACCCGCTCATTGCCTCCTTAACTCACTCATATCCACGTGTTGAGGGCCTCCAGGACAGGGCACTGCCCACGCTCGTCTTCCAGTTTCTTGTCCCCAGCCTCCCTGGGGACAGTGTGGAAGTGCACCCTCCTCCTGGGCCCCGCTTCCTTTGGCCTCAGCGAGAGAAAGAGAGCAGCTGGTCCCCATCCCTGGGACAAACCCCATCATAGGCTGGAAGGGACTCAGCAGTGTGTGCATGCTGCTCCATGGCCAAGGCCATGGATTACCTTTTTCCAGAGACGTTCCTGGAGGGCCAGACAAGAACAGGCTGCTACGAACCAGCAATTCCCCAGCTTGCCCTGGTGTAAGTCGTGGGAGCTGATTCCGCCCACAAACAGGTGCGGGTTGTCGCAGATGTCCTGGAACACAGGCAGCGCTGCTCCGACTTAGCAGAGGAGTCTGGCCCGCTTCCCTCCCCTCCTCCCAGGCCTCACCTTGCTGGCTCTGCCCCCCGCCCCCCCAAGTGAGCATGGGAGGGAGAGAGGGAGTGAGTGAATGAGCTAGTGAGCGGATGAGTAAATGAGTGTGTGTGAGTGAGGGAGCAATAGGACGACGGAGGATTTTGGCACCAATGCTTTCATTTCACCAGGGGAGCAGGGAAACTGAGGCCTAGAGAAGAGACTTGCCCAAGGGCTTGCAGTTCCCTGGACCCTGAGGCCTGTGTTCTGGTTTCTGTAGCTTCCCTAGCTGGTAGGTGGATGGGGGCAGGGTGGAGGTTGCGGGCAGTGGGCCACCAAATGGCACCTCAGTGGCTAGAGCTTTCAAAGGATGGAGTGGGGCTGCTGTCTCTCCCTTCCTCTTTTCTTCCTTCCTCCCTTCTCTTCTGGGCTTTTTGGCTGCACTTCCAACTGGATTTGGGGAGGAACGTGGTGGCGGGTGGCCCTTGGTGGCAGAACACAGATGGGTCATTTCACTGGCAGCCGCCCACCTCACCAAATGAGGCAGACAGACTGGGGGTCAGGGGAGAGAGAGCACACTCATATATTTCGATGTCTTTGTTAGTCAGGGTTATGGAAGGCAGGCCCCTAAAGCATCCCAGCTGTGCTGGCCCAGCTGTGGTGCTCCGGAGCCAGGCTGTTTGTCAAATGGTTTCCGGGGATGGCGGCAGGCTACAGAAATGCTAAAAGAGACTCTTGAGTAGCCTGAACCAAGTCCTCCTTTCTTTGGGATGGGGGCAACCTTTCAGGCAGCACTCTAGACTGGCCACCAGGCTGGCTTGGCCACTGTCTTGCCCAGGGGCCTGGGTACTGCGGACTCCCCTTTTCTCTAGCTATAGCAACAGCATAAAAGAGCGAGGTGTTCTAGGGACTATTGTGGGCCAATGTCGTCAGTGGACCAGGTAGAAGCATTAGGAGCCCAGGGAAGAGATGTAGCAAGTCCCATCCTCTCTCTGCTCTGTAAAATGAGGGGGCTGGGTTAGATGGCTTCTGACGATCTTTCCAGTTCTGACATTCTGGGATTCTGTTCTGGAGAGGTGGGAGCTGCAGCTCAGCCAGGGGCCAGGCTTGCCCCCAAAGGCCCTCTGGGAGCAGGCCCACTCTTTGGTGGCTTGGCCTGGCTGAAGAAGTGAGTGGAGAGAGAAGAGGGAGAGTTAGTGACAAGACAGAGGGGGCGGAGTGGGGAGGGGGGCGAGGAGGGGCACCGGCCAGCTGCGCTTGGAAGGATGCTTCCCAAAGGGAGTTGTTGACGTATTTGTTCACAGGCAAGTACTCAGATACATACAATCTATGCCTTCCACTTCATCACCATCCTCAAGGGCCAAGCAGAAGGGGCCCAAGGTGGGAGCTTGGGAGCTGAGGGCAGACCTGGGTCTCAGCCTCAGCAGCCAGGGTCAAGGCTACCTTCCCCCAGCAGCTTGCCCCCCCCCGCCATGGAGCTCAGTCATTCTCTGTTCTCAGGCTGTTCTTCAGCCCTGGCATTGGTCCTTTTGAATTTTGGTCTCTGTCTCTGTCTGTCTCTGTCTCTCTCACACACTCTCACATAGGCTCATTGGGTTATAGAATCATAAAATCAGAGCTGGATGAGACAATTGAGGCCCTCTGCCCACTCCCTCATGTTGAAGCACATGCGTGTGCACACACAACACACACACACACACACACACACAAATTTTCACATTCACAAATACTTTCCCACACAGTCACTCACGCTCAATATATTCATACTCGCCCACATGCACATTCATACCTACACATGCTTTCACATCTCCAATCACTCACACATACACTCTCGCAGACTGGTATCCCCGGCCCAGGGCCTGTAAACAGCCTCTGGGGCCAAACCTGAGGCAACTTTTTCAAGAAGTAGCTGAGATGGGAAGAAGGGAGGACACCCAGAGCCTGGGGCTTTGCCAGCCATGTGGGTTTGGTCCATCATGGAAAACCCTCAGGACCACTTGGGTGGGAGTGATGAGATCCCAGACTGAGAATGTGACCTTTTCTCTTGGAAGTCAGAGCTGCTTGCTCAAGGCTGCCAGGGGAGAGAGAAGTGGAGAATGATAGGATTTCAGAACTGGAAGGGAAGAGGGCTTTGAGTCCAGCCTCTTGCTTTGACATATGGAGAAACTGAGGCTAGGGCAGGGGAAGGAGCTTAGGATTTGAGAGCTTACCAAGAAGAGGAAACTAAGGTGGGGGCAGGGCTGGCCCAGGGTCACCTCTTGGGTTAGTGAGGCCAAAGTTCTGGGTTCAGTTTCCTGTGTAGGGTTCTTGTTTGGGTTCCTTTTGGGGTCATCTGTAGGCATAATTTTGCCAGGCACAATGCTAGGCACTGGGGGTACAATGGCAGAAAGTTGGAGTGGCCAATTGCAGAGAGATTTAAGGAGAGGTAGTGTGGTGTAGTGGAAAGAGCCCTGGTGTTGGACAGAGAGGACCTGGGTTCAAATCCTGTCTCTGTGACCTTGAGCAAGTCACCTAATCTCTCTCTGGGCCTCAGTGTCCTCATCTGGAAAATGGGGGGGGGGCTGTTGAACTAGACGGTCTTTGAGGTCCTGTTTGGATCTAACTCTCTGATCCTGAGACGTGTTTGGGGGGCGCAGGTCCAGAACCCACCAGTGCCAGCCTCCAATGAGTGATTACACCTCCTAGCGACCACTGCACTTCCCCCTAAGTCTGGTGTGGTCTGTTCCTCAGAAAACCCCGCCAATGTGCAGGCAGCTGGCACCCAGGGGAGGCCTGGCAGCCCTGGCTCTCCCTGTCCCATTGGGCTCCTTCCTCCTCAACAGTCACAGTACTTGTGGAATCCTTGATGTGCCTGGCACCGTGCCAGGCACTGGGCACGCAAAGCCCAGGCTGGTGCCGTTCCTGCTCTCAGGGAGCTGCTATTTTCCCTCCTGGCTCCACCATCTTTTCTCTAACCTTCTCCATAATTCTTTGTGTGTCCCCAGTTCACACTCCCTTCCAATTTCCTTCCAGATGGATGAGGGCAGAATGGGTGTGAGTTAGGGAGCTGCCACAAACTCCCCCTAACAGGGCCTGGCCCAAGGCCTTCTCCTCTCTGGCCCTTGGTTTTCTCCTCTTTCAAATCTCTGAGGCGACCCCGATCACTATAAATCTTGTGGTCTCTAAGAGCGTGCGCATGGGGTGTCTCTGAGAGAGGGAACACAGGAAGCAGCAGGGAAGGGGTTCAGATGAGAGCAGGAGGCCTTTGTGGGAATTCATTCTGTGACAGGCTAGGTCATTCATTCATTCATTCATTCATTCATTCATTCATTCATTCAGGAAGACAAGTTCAAATCTCGCCTTACTAGCTATGTGGCCCTGGACAAGTCATTTAACTGTTGTCTGCCTCAGTTTCCTCATCTGTAAAATGAGGATCATAATAGCAGCTACCTCCCAGGGTTGTTGTGAGGATCAAATGAGATGATATTTGTAAAGTCATGGAAATGTTAACTTATTATTCACTCATTTGATTAATTAAAAAATGTATTTCTATTAAGCACCCATTGTGTGCTTAAACAAAGTTAAGCTAGGCCAGGGTCCCTGTTCTCTTGGAGCTCACAGTGAGCAGGGGGGAGGGGAATGACACACAAACACAGAGACATGAAATTATTTATGAAATGCTTTAGCTAACCAAAGAAAGTAGGCCTCAGTATCCCCCCCTCGCCTCCAAAATGCTCCCTTCCCTGCTCCTCCCTCTGGTCTGAGCTGGCCTGGCCTGGCCTGGCCTTGAAGTCGGCCTCTTCAACAGAGCCTCGCCCTGTCCAGGGCCCCTAGCCTCAGCCTTCAGCAGCGTCCAAGGCTGTGGGGACCAAGCCAAGCTGCAGCCTTCCCACAAAGAAATGAAACGTTTCAATGCAGGCTGCATTCAAGCGTGATTGTTATTATTATTAGGAACCTCGTTCTCACTATTTCCTGTTGTTGTTCTAATGAGGGGGAAGCATGGTGCATTGCATGGAATGTCAGCCTTGGGGTCAGGAGGCCTGGGTTCAAGTCTTCCTCTTCCCCCCCTCCCAGCACTCACCAGGTGTGGGACCCCAAGCCAGTCTCTATTGGTGGGGACAGCTGCCACTGGGAGCTCTCTATGCCCATGAGACCACGGGGCCGGACCAAGAAATCCCAGTCATAGTGGCCTGAAGGTCCGAGGGTTACAAGGTTCACAGGCTTTCTCTAGCCTGCCCTGCTCTGGAGCAAAGGCTATAGGAGGGACTGACATGGGAGGGAGGCTCAGGATAGGCTGGCAAGATTGGAGGAGGGGGAAAAACAGGGGAGGAAACAGAGACTTTGGTGCCCCCCGCCGGATGGCATGGGAAGGCCCAGCTTCAAGGCAGACCCAGGATAGGATATTAGGGTTCTCTGCAGAGGCAACTAGGGAGTGGGCCTCTAGGCGACAATGCCAAGATGGAGGGAGGGGCTTGGTTGAAGGGGGTGGGGAAGAGAGTCCGGGGACTAGATTTTGCTTGGCTCAAGTTTTATGGAGAGAGATGGGCCCTGGCTAGCCCTAAGGACAGCCATGGAAAGTGATCAGCCGACTTACCATGGGCCCTGGGCTCTGGCTTCTGCACTTCCAGCAAAGGGAGAGTGAAAAGGGCCCTGGTCTTAGGGTCAGAGGGCCTGGATTCCAATCCCAGCTCTGGTACTTCTGAGCTAGCTGGGTGACCTGGATAAATCCCTTTCCCACTCTGGGCTGCCTCAGTTTCCTCCTCTGTGAAATGAGAGGGTCAGACTCCATGGCTTCTGCAGTCCCTCCCAGCTGTGCGCTCAAGCTGTGACCCCAGGACAGAGGGTTCAATGAGTAGCTATAGGCCCCAAAGTCTCTGTGGAGCTTGAATCCCGGTCAGACCACACCCACCCAGGGAGAGCTCCCATTGGTCCTGGCTGCCAGCTGCGTGGTACAAGCAGGAGGGCAGCAGCCTCCACAGATCCCCCGGCCCAGCTGCAGGCAGTCAGGATAGGAGCCTGGGCCTGGGTCTGTGCCTCTCACATCTAGGTCCAGGCTTAAGCAATGTGCTTTAACTCAGCCTTGACTTGGGTTAACAGAGCTCCTGCCTGGGCCCCCTAGACACTGAGCAGAGCCAGCACCGCATAGGAGCCAAAACCCTTAGTCATATCTTCTCAACCCCTAGGGTCCTGAGGAAGTAGGGGCTGGAGGAGGGGTGGGCAAGGGAAGGAAGTTCTGGAGCCCCACTGCCCTACTAGGAAGCAAGGCCACGGTCCACCCCCTCTGGGCCAAGTCTGCCCTGCTCTGACGCTGGGTGGCCCCTGGCCCTGCCCTCTTATCCTCTCCACTCTCCCCTCCCCATGGCCCTGTCACTCACCACATCTGCTCCCTGCTGCCATCTAGGCTTTGGTCATGTGGGGCTTTGTCTCCAGGGAGGTCGGGGTAGGATTATACCATTGCCCACCCCTCCCTCTCTGGCCTGTCCCATGGGATCTCTTTGGTAGCACCTTCTGCACCAGGTTTGGGTGCAATACTGTACGCAAAGGACTTAAAATGCTGCCCAAGTGTGAGCCACCGTCATTGCCACTGATTTCATGGCCAATGAGATGCCAAGTCCTTCTAATGTCTTTTGGCCCTCTGGCCCAGGACTGCTCACACTCAATTGTGTGGAATCTTGGGCTCCCGTCGTCTTCCACCCTAGGCTAGGAGTGGCTTCCTCAGCCAACCCTCCACTGGGACAAACTCGAGGGCTCTTCAATATCCTGGTGGCGGCTCCCTGGGAACTTGGACCAGCCCACACCCTCTTCTCCTTTTGGAATCAGCTTGAATCCTAGATTTCATTTCACAGGATTTAAAGGTAGGAGAGACCCCAGAAGTCATCTGGTCCAAGGCCTTTAATCGACAGAGGAGGAAAGTGAGGCCCATGGTCACAGCCAGGATCCCAAGCCTGGGCCTCTGCACACTCTACCACACTACCTCCTGAAGGATTGTGGGGTCAAAAAGGCAGAGGGGCAGGGGTGGAATTGACCCAGGCTCTGCTTGTCATCTTTGTTACTGGTCCTCAGTGCTTATGTATTTGCATCTCCACAAGGGAGGTTGGGTTTCCTGCTAGCCATTTTTAACAGGACTCCACTGCATGATCACCCCCTTCCTCCACTAGGGGTCCTGTTGAGGACTGGGCAGTGAGCAAGAATTCATTGGAGGTATTGTGACCTTATCTCCTGGCAAAGAGGGAGGGAAGAGCAGATCAGGATTAGAATTCATTCCTTTCCTAACTTTGGCATCTCCCGGGCCACAGGGTGCTAGGCCCCAAGCTACCTGCTGATCTGAGTCATTACCTTGGGCCGCTTCCATTCCACTGGGCCTGGTAGGTGGCGGCTGAAGAAGAGGGACTCATCCCCAGCGAGGAACTCGGGGTCCTCAAAGAGCCGGTGCTCTCGGAGACACGCCTGCTTCAGCTCGTGGTACTTCTGGCCTTTAAAAGGTTTCACCACAGCAAGCATGATTTCGATTTCCAGCTAGAATGAGAACAACATTCGCTTCAGTATGGAGGAAAGGACTGCAGACACTTAGCAAGTAGGCCGAGCTGAGATTGACCAGAAGACACTGGAAGCTGGGACATACAAGATAATGGGCTGAAAAGCTGCTAACTCATTGCCTGTGTGGCCTTGGACAGCTCACTTTACCTCGGAATGCCCTGGACAATCCTTGAAGACAAAGTTGCAGAGTAGGTGTTGATGTGAGAGACTTTCCTTAGTGGGGAAAATCATAGATCCAGGTAAAAAAAAAGAGGGGGGGGCTTAACTCCCAGAGTTCTTTGGAAGATCATTTGAGATGTCTATAAAATGCTTTGGAAAAGTTCAAGTACTACAGAAATGCTAGCAAGATATTCTCAGGCCAGTGGCTGCTCTGGAGTCATGAGGGGGTACAGTGCTCTAGTCCTTTGTGATGACAAAATCCTCCCATTGACATAGGAAGATATGTCTCCCATAGCAGAGATATTATTAAACCCCATTTAACAGATGAGCACACCAGGCATCTTCTGAATGACTGTGTAGGCGCTAGTTAGAAACTGAGATAGGCAAGTAGCGTCAAAAGAGCTGGAGAGACAGCTAGAACTATCCTGCCAAGGTCAGTCAGGCCATCCTTTATCACCAATAAGAGGGAGAGCATGAAAATGAAATGGGCAAATTGTAGGGAAGATTGAGTCCTATGTTTCAGGCATGCGAGCATAGCCACTCTCTCATTGACTGTGGAATTCCTAAATGGCTGGCCCAGACAGTGCAGAAGAGCCCTTCATAGACAATTGGCCCAGAGTTATCTAAACTCTTTTTTACAACTTTTGATGATGACAATTATTTTGAAATAGCTTTGGAGTCATAATAAAGCTTCTTGGAGCCAATGCTTGCTTGCCAAAGATAGGTTGCCCATGGTTATTAATCCCTACTGGGCACACAATCAGGTGAAATTTTCACCTTTCCTCAGAGTCCATCCGGGGTCCCACAGTGTGCTAATATATCTTCAGGGATATACATCCTTGTCCACAGTCTGGCCCTATCAAGGCTAACATCCAGAAACCAGTTAATGTTGACACGAGCTTGCTAATAGAGAGCTTTAGTTAATGCTGTCATAAATCCTTTCCGAGCTCTTGCTGCTAAATTGACATGAGTCAAGGGCAGCTGTTGGAATGAGCAGACCCTCTCCATTACGTTTGAGATTTCCCATTAACCCGATGACTGTGGCCAGTATTGGTATCTCCCGGCTGATCTCAATATTGGTTCACATTGAGACTTTTACTTAGACCTGTTTTTGGCCAACTTGCCAGATCTTCCTGGCTCCAGACACGAAGGAAGGGTAGATGCAAGACTGCTCTGCATCATTATTATTTTCTAGTCTGTATTATTGGATTTGTATTCTTAGGTAACTGCTGATGCATACAGAGTGTTAGCAGCAACTCTCAATAAAAGTAGAAACCATCTAGCCCCTCACCCCAAGTCCTGTTCCAAACCCTCTCACCTGGTTCCGATGGAGCTGAAGTGTCTTATCTGTGCCCTGGTCTCCAAGATCTGGCCACTGACAAGCACCAGACCACAGCGGCTCTCTCTTGAGTCCATCCAGAGCCAACCATGAAGGAGGCAGGGGACATATAGGCCCCACCCCTCCCCACCCATGCTCCTTCCTAATCCCTCTGACCCAGTTCTAGCCCACCCCCCCACCATTCTAGCTCCATCAGCCTACTTGAGGAACATGACCTGAGGAGCAGAGCAGATTCTTCCAGGCCCCTGGGTTCCCTGGTGTGGCAGAGTGGAGAGAGCCCTGGGCCTAGAGTCAGGAAGACCTGAGTTCATAATCCAGCCTCACATACTTCCTAGCTATGTGACCCTGGGCAAGTCACTTAACCTGTTTGCCTCAGTTTCTTTATCTAAAGAACAGAGATGATAATATTGTATTTAAAGTATGTTCACTCATGCAATAAACATTTATTAAGGGCCTACTATGTGTCAGGTACCTTCTCTGCAATTTATAGTCTCAGGGAGAGGCTTGGGGCAAGCTGTTATTATAATGATCATTATGGAAGGGGGCTTAGCAACCTGTCGGGGAAACCAGACTGTGCTTCTGCCGGCCCAGTACAACCAGAATAGCCAATTAATCACAACATCCCTTCTCCTGACCCTTTGGGCTAACCAGGTACTTCTTGTACTTGGCAAGGCTGCTGGGGAAGCTGCCCCTGGAGCCGCACTGTGGTGCCCCCTGGGAAGAGCCCAGACTCTAGAGGGGCTGCAAAGCCCTTCCCCCTGCTGGCCACTGCTGGCTGCTGGCTGTCGGGCTGCCCCCATTCTCCTGCTGAGCTAGCCCTGGGAGGCAGAGCCTTGTTTTCTCATATGATGGAGCTGGGACACAAATACGGAGGCATGGGGTGTAGGGTGTGTGTGTGTCCTGTGTGTTATGTATGTGTGTCTGTGGCATGTGTAGAGTTGTGCATAATTGTGTACAGTGTGTGTGTGTGTGTGTGTGTGTGTGTGTGTGTGTGTGTATACACAGTGGCTAGTGTTTGGATCTGGGGCTGTAACCCCATTCCTCTGACCCTTTGGGAGCTCAGTGCCTGCCCGTCCCAGAGGGACCCCGGGTATTGGCCTCAGTCCCTGACAAAACCCGGGAAGCTAGGCTTCTTGGTGATGCCATAGCCCGAAGGAGTGAATACAACAGAGGTCAGAGGATTTGGGCACCTCGTGCTTCCCCTGTGGCAAGAAGGAAGGGACTGGACTCAATGTTTTCTAGGTCCTCTTGCAGCTCCTTGGGCCTCAGTTTCCTCATCTGTACCATGCAGTAGTTAGACTAGACAGCCTCTGAGGCTCCTTCTAGCCTGAAAAACGGATAGGATTTCATAGGATTTTGAGCTGGAAGGGGCTTCCTTTACATACCACCTAACCGAAGCCCCTCATTTTACAGATAAGGACACTGAGGCTTGGAGAGGGGGACGTGACAGGCCCAGGTCACACAGCCAGGGAATGGTGGGGCCGGGACCAGACTCAGGTGTTTCTCTCTCCTCCACAGTATTCCAAGATGCTGCCTTTCATCTTTTCTTGTTTTCCCCTCCCAGGGATGGCTCAGAAAAGAGTTCAGTTGGACCCAAGGCTTTTTCGAGGGGAAATTGATTCCCCACGGAAGTCAATCACTGCAGAGCCCTAAGTAGGGATTTTAGCTGGGGACAATGGCCCAGACAGGGCTCTCAAAGTAGTGACAGAGAAAACAAATGGGAGGGGGGAGAGAGGAGAGGAGGAAGAGACCTTGAAAAGAGACCTTGGTCGTTGGAACACAAGGTCCTTAAGGGAAGGGGGAAGCAGAACCCCAGAGATACCTTGAGGCTCCTATGGGGGGCTTGCCCGGAGTGCCTGCTGCCTGGGCGCTGAGCTCGGAGATGCTGAAGCACAAACTCACCCAGTTCCCTCCACCCCCTCTCCCCCACTTTGGCTCCTCCAAGGTGGAAATAGGGGCTCAGCTTCGGAGGCGGGAAGAGCCGGAGGGGAGGGAGGCTGAGGCTCGGGTCAGATTTCACCGAGCCCTAGGTCTAGAGAGAGATGGAGCCATAGAGGCCAGCCACCTCATTTTATGGATGGAGAAACTGAGGCTCAGACAGGGCAAGGGGCTTTCTCAAAATCCTCAGAGTAGTGAGCGGCAGGGTTAGGATTTGAATCCAGGTCATCTGGCTCCAGGTCCAAAGCCCTTTCTCCTGCAGCATCGTCTGACACACTCCTAAAACATCAGCCACTGAGGACAGCCCTGCTTCTTCACTTCTCTTGGCCCTTCTGAGCCCTGAGATCCTGCTATGCCCTGGGCTCTGCTCCTCTCCTCAGCACTTCCCAGCTATTTAGGCTAAGGATTGGGAGAATGGGCTGGGAGGGTCTAGGGGTGCAGAACGGGGCACTCGTTAGGGAACAGGAGCCCAGCCCAGGCAGCGGCAACACAGGAGAAGGCGGCGCAGTGCTAGGGAGAGAGTGAGCGAGTTCTGCCTTTGGAGGCAGGGAAGCCTGCTGCTGCTGGGTTCGGAATCTGAGTGTAGGAGGCTCCCATCACCTTCTCCTCTCTGGCCTTGCTTTATGAATCTATAAAATGAGAAGGGGGGCATTGGACCGGACGCGATTTCTAAGGGTCCTTCACACTCTAAAACTCGGGATAAGGGAGAATGGGAGTTAGCAGTGCTATGGCTAGAGGAGCCGGTCTCAGAAACTGAGGACCTGCTGGGGGGAGGGGGAGGGGGGAGGATCCAGTCCCACTTGTGGGGGCTCCCCCAGTCCCCAGCAGCGCCGGGGCAGGCTGCTCAGAAGAGGCAGTTCATGGGGCCAGGGCACCTCTCTGCAAGCTAATTGCAGCTCCAATTATGGATGGGGGAGCCAGGCTTACCATGGAAGGAGCTTCCATTCCTGGGGTTCTGCCACTTACCACCTGGGTGACCTTGGGCAAATCACCTACTCTCTCTGGGCCTCAGTTTCCTCATCTGCAAAGTGAAGGAGTTGGATGGAATGGGTCCCTGCCAGCTTAAAGTCTGGGATCCTAAGGTGTGTTGAGGCATCTACCTTTGTTTGCCAGCTCTTTGCAGAGAAAACCTCCCCAGGCTCCAGACTGAGAGCTAGGAAGGATGTGAGAGGCCAGCTAGTGGAATCTCTTCAGTTTTGAGAATGAAGAATTAAGGAACCATGTTAAAGCAGCCAAGTCACCCACCTTGTAAATTGCAGAGCTGGGCTTGACTCTTCAGTGGCTCCTGCCTCCTAGCCTTTGGCAGCTGACTGAAGTATTGACCAGGGGCTGGCCCGTGGCCCAGTGATCGCCCTCACTACCTGCCTGCCACAGAAGCACAGCTCAGAGACCAGCTTCTTTTAGCCGGTTCTAGCAGCTGTGCTGATCTCAGAAATGTTGTCCAGCCTTGCCTTGTCCAACCAGCAGCTTCCTGAGTACCAGCTGAGCCCGGGACTTCCCTGGAGAAGCCAGGACGGCATGGGGGAGAGCCCTGTGCCTAGGCTCCCCAGGACTTACCTGGTTTAGGAAATGTCTGGTCTGGACAGTCGGCAGAGTCACAGGAAACTTTCCCAGTTGAGGCAGAGACTGCTGCTGTGAACTTGACAACTCTGGACTGTACCAAGCTCTGTGTGCAGGGGGAAGCTCTGCTCAGCAACTTTGGGAACCGTTGTCCAGCTCAGGCAGCCAGGAATTGATCTTGAGTCATAAGGGAGAGGGGGAAGGCGTTCCCGTGTTCCCGTGTCCCTGCCTCCCTGCATTCTTGACACTGGGCCAATTGGGATGCCCCCCTGGCTGGGGGCTGGGCTGGACCAGCTGCCTTGGGGACTGAGATCTGCTAAGAGAGCAAGAAAAAGAGATAGAAAGAGAGAAAGAAAGAAAGAAGGAAAGAAAGAAAGAGAAAGAAAGAATGAGAACTGGCATTCACATAACAAATACAATCCTCAAAGCACTTTGCATGCCTCATATGAGCCTCCCGACAACTTGAGGAGGTTGGTGCAACAGCCATTATTATCCCCCTATTACAGAGGAGGAAACTGACGCTCAGAGAGAAGTGACTTGTCCAAGGTCATATAGTTAGTGAGGGGCTCAGATTCCCTTGTCCTCTCTGGACCTGCTTTATGAATCTCTAAAATGAGAATGTGAGCATTGGACTGGCTGGGATTTCTAAGGTCCTTCACGCTGTAAAGCTCATGACCCTGGAGAATGGAGGTTGGTGATAAGGTGGCCCTAGGAATTAGTCTCAGACCCTGAGGCCTGTTGAGGGGGTCCAGGACTGCTGCTTGGGCAGGGCAGAGACGAGCTAAGCCCCTAGCTCTTCCTAACTCTAACTTTGATCATCTCCACTCCACCGTGCTGTCTCTTCAAGAAGGAGAGAGGGACTGATAGAGATTTCTCTTGTTCTTGGCCAGCATAAACACAGCCTGGGGCCACAGGATGTGACCTTCTCTTCTCCCGGCTCAACATTCCCAGTCTCTTCTCTGAGCGCTCCTCCTGGGGCACAGACTCGAGGACCTCCATGGTGTTGGGGGCTTGACAAGAACCCCGTCTTATTTACTTCTTTGTGGACTTAGTTTTGCCCGTTGGTTGGGATGAGGGGGAAGGAGGCCTGAGCAGCCCACCCGCCCATCAAGTTCTCAGGAGGCTTACTGAATGGCTGAGAGCAAGGCAAAGAGCAGGTAAATATTGAAATGGCCCAGGGACAGTCTGGGAGAGAAAGCAGAATTCTTTTCTTGGGTCCTGAGGGGGATCCTGGGTCAACTTAGGATGAGGAATGAGATAGATAGATACATAGACAGACAGACAGAGACAGAGAGAGAAAAAGAGAAGGAAATGGAGAGAAAGAGACAGAGGAGAGAGAGACAGAGGAGAGAGGGAGGAAAGACAGAGACAGAGATAGAGACAGAGAGAAAGGGAGAGAGACAGAGACAGAAAGAGAGATAGAGTGAGACAGAGAGAGAAAGAGGAGACACAGAGAGGAGAGAGAGAAGAGACCAAGAGAGGAGAGAGAGACAGAGAGATAGAGAGGCAGAGGGGGGCAGAGAGACAGAGACAAAGACAGACTGAAGAGAGAGAGAGAGAGAGAGAGAGAGAGAGAGAGAGAGCAGAGAGAGGGGAGAGGGAGAGAGACAGAGACAGAGACAGAGAGACAGACAGAGAGAGAAACAGAGACAGAGACAGAGGGACAGAGAAAGAGAGAGGAGAGAGCTAGAGAGAGAGACAGACAGAAAAACAGAGACAGAGAGACAAAGAAAGAGGGAGAGAGAGATAGAGACAGAGAAAGACAGAGAGAGAGAAAAGGAGAAGGAAATGGAGAGAAAGAGACAGAGGAGAGAGAGAGGAGAGACAGAGAGAGAGAGACAGAGAGACAGACCGGGAGAGAAAGGAAGAGAAACAGAGAGTAGAGACATACAGACAGCCAGAGGAAAGAAAGAAAGGGGAGGAGAGACAGAGAGAGATTAGAGAGAGGAGACAGTGAGAATGAGAGAGACAGAGACAGAAACAGAGAAAGAGTCACAGAGAAAGAGAGACACAGAGAGAGACAGAGACAGAAACAGAGAGAGATATACAAAAAAGAGAGAGAGACAGAGAGAAAGGGAGAGAGACAGAGACAGAAAGAGAAGAGAGATAGAGTGAGACAGAGAGAGAAAGAGGAGAGAGACAGAGAGAGGAGAGAGAGGAGAGAGCAAGAGAGGAGAGAGAGACAGAGTGATAGAGAGACAGAGGGGGGCAGAGACAGAGACAGAGAAAGAGAGAGGAGAGAGAGCTAGAGAGAGAGACAGACAGAGAAAAAGAGAGACAGAGAGACACACACAGAGAGACAGAGGCAGAGACAAAGAGATAGAGAGAGATGGAGAAACAGAGGGAGGAAACAGAGACAGAGATGGGGAGGGAGAAAGAAAGAGATAGAGAGGGAGAAGAGAGAGAGAGAGAGAGAGAGAGAGAGAGAGAGAGAGAGAGAGAGAGAGAGAGAGGAGAGAGAGAGAGAGAAAGAGAGAGGAGAGAGAGAAGGGAGAGACAGAGAGAGAAGAGAGGAGAGAGAGAGGAGAGAGAAAAAGAGAGAAACAGAGAGAAAGAGACAGAGACAAAGACAGAGAGACAGAGAGAAGAGAGAGAGGAGAGAGAAAGAGAGACAGAGAGAAAGAGACAGGGACAAAGACAGAGAGAAAGAGGGAGAGAAAGACAGAGACAGAGAAAGACAGAGAGAGAGAGAGAAAAGGAGAAGGAAATAGAGACAGAGAGAGATGGAGAGGAGACACAGAGAGAAGCAGAGACACAGAAAGAGAGATAGAGACAGAGAAAAGGAGAAGGAAATAGAGACAGAGAGAGATGGAGAGGAGACACAGAGAGAAGCAGAGACACAGAAAGAGAGATAGAGACAGAAACAGAGAGAGATAGAAAAGAGAGAAACAAAGACAGAGAGACAGACAGAGAAGAGAGATAAAGTGAGACAGAGAGAGAGAGGAGAGAGACAAAGACAGAGAGAGGAGAGAGATAGAGTGAGACAGAGAGAGAGAGGAGAGAGACAAAGACAGAGAGAGAGGAGAGAGATAGGGTGAGACAGAGAGAGAGAGAGGAGAGACAGAGAGAGAGACAGAGAAAGAGAGAGGGAGGGAGGGGGGAGAGAGAGAGAGAGAGAGAGAGAGAGAGAGAGAGAGAGAGAGAGAGAGAGAGAGAAGAGAGAGAGACAGAGAGACAGAGACAGAAGCAGAGACAGAGAAATAGAGAGAGAGATGGAGAGATGGAGAGACAGAGAGAGAGAGACAAGGAGGAAGAGACAGAGAGAGAGAGAGAGACAGAAACAGAGAGACAGAGAGAGGAGAGAAAGAAAGAGGAGGGAGACAGAGAGAGAGAGAAGAGAGGAGAGCGAAAGAGAGGAGAGAGAAAAAGAGAGACAGAGAGGAGAGAGACAGAGAGAGAGGAGACAGAGAGAGAGGAGACAGAGAAACAGAGAGGAGAGAGAGGAGAGAGGAGAGAAAGAGAGCAGAACAGAGAGAGACACGCAGAGAGGAGAGAAAGAGAGGAGAGACAGAGAGGACAGAGAGACAAAGAGACAGACAGAGACAGAGGGAGAAAGACAGAGAGAGAGGAGAGAGAGAAAGGGAGACAGAGAGAGACACACAGAGAGAGACAGAGGCAGAGAGATAGAGAGATGGAGACAGAGAGACAGAGAGAAAGGGAGAGACAGAGAGAGAAGAGAGACAGAGACAGAAAGAGAGGAGACAGAGAGACAGAGACAAAGAGAGGAGAGACAGACAGAGACAGAGAGAGGAGAGAAGGAGAGAGAAAAAGAGAGACAAAGAGAGACCGAGAGAGAGGAGAAACAGAGACAGAGAGAGAGACAGAAACAGAGACAGAAAGAGATGGAGAGGAGACACAGAGAGAGAGAGAGAGAAGCAGAGACACAGAGAGACAGAGACAGAAACAGAAAGAGATACAAAAGAGACAGAAACAGAGAAGAGAGATAGAGTGAGACAGAGAGAGGAGAGAGACAAAGACAGAGAGAGAGAAGAGAGATAGAGTGAGACAGAGAGAGAGAGAGAGAGAGAGAGAGAGAGAGAGAGAGAGAGAGAGGAGAGACAGAGAAAGAGAGGGGGGGAGAGAGAGAGTCAGAGAGACAGAGACAAAGAGAGGAGAGACAGACAGACAGAGACAGAGGAGAGAAAGAGAGAAAAAGAAAGACAGAGAGAGGGACAGACTGAGAGAGAGAGACAGAAATAGAGGGAGGAGAGAGAGAGACAGACAGAAACAGAGAGAGAGAGGAGAGAAAGAAAGAGGAGGGAGACAGAGAGAAGAGAGGAGACAGAAAAAGAGAGACAGAGAGAGAGGAGACAGAGCAAGGAGACAGAGAGACAGAGAGGAGAGAGAGGCAGAGAGAGGAGAGACAGACAGACACAGACAGACAGAGAGGAGAGAGAGGAGAGAGGAGAGAAAGAGAGGGGAACAGAGAGAAAGACACAGAGAGGAGAGAAAGAGAGGAGAGACAGAGAGGATAGAAAGACAGAGAGAGGAGAGAGAAAGGGAGACAGAGAGAGACACAGAGAGAGAGACAGAGAGAGACAGAGACAAAGAGAGACAGAGACAGAGAGATGGAGAGATGGAGACAGAAAGGGAGAGACAGATACAGAGACAGAAAGAGAGGAGATGGAGAGACAGAGACAGAGAGGAGAGACAGACAGACAGAGACAGAGAGAGGAGAGAAAGAGAGAGAAAAAGAGAGACAGACAAAGAGAGACCAAGAGAGAGGAAAGAGAGACAGAGACAGAGGGAGGGGAGAGAGACAGAGAGAGAAGAGAAAGACAGAGAGACAGAGGCAGAGACAGAGAAATAGAGAGAGATGGAGAGACAGAGAGAGATGAGGAGGAGGAGAAGAGACAGAGACAGACAGACAGAAGCAGACAGAGACAGAGAGAGGAGAGAAAGAGAGAGAAGGAAGGAGACAGAGAGAGAAGAGAGGAGAGAGAAAGAGAGGAGAGAGAAAGAGAGGAGAGAGAAAAAGAGAGACAGAGAGGAGAGAGGCAGAGAGAGGAGAGACAGACAGACACAGACAGACAAAGAGGAGAGGAGAGAGGAGAGAAAGAGAGGGGGACAGAGAGAGACACACACAGAGAGGAGAGAGAGAAAGAGAGGAGAGACAGAGGGGATAGAGAGACAAAGAGACAGACAGAGAGAGAGAGAGGGAGACAGAGACAGAGAGAGAG